GAGAAAATTTTTAAGGTCTGTCTAAATCTGAGATGTTTGATTCTTTGAATCTGGGTTTCAAACATGAAATTAGGGTGTACGAGTAGAAGGGATGTTCTCTGGGTTTTGGGAACAGAGGACTAATGGGAATGGACAGCAAACAAGATGCACAGGATCGTGGTATGGAGATAAGTAGTATTAGATTTTTGGTATCTACTCTGGACAGTCTTTATGTATATATATATGTTCATTCTAGCAAAATTGGGAACATCCTGTATATGTAATTTTGTATTCTGCTTTGTTCACCTGATGCGATAATTCCAGGTTCAGTATTCTTGTACAAAAATCTTTGTGTCCATTCTTGTTTCCTTAGGATAAGATCCCAGAAGTGGGATTGTTCTGTCATTGTGTACACATGTTTTTCTGGCTTTCTGTACCTGTTGCCACGGTGCCTTGGACGTGACTGTGCCAGTTGATCGTTCTGGCGGCGGTCTTGAGTGCCATCCTCCTCAGCCCTCTCTAGCGCCAGGTTCTGTTAAAAAATAGTTCTGTTGCCAATTTGATAGGAGAAGTACTGCTCTCTGCTTTTGCTTTCATTGTGCTTTTTAAAAAATTATTGATAGAGCTGATATGTGTGTTCATTGATCAGTTGGATTTCTTTTGTGAATTGTTCTTTTTTTTTGTCTTTTGTCCTTTTTTTCCTTCTTGGATATTAGGTTTTTTTCTTACTAATTTATTAGTCCTTTATACTGAAAGGATGTTAATACTTTGTGGTGTGTCGCAGATATTTTTCCTAGTTTAATATTTGCCTTTTATGTTTGTTACTGTTTTCTTCTTGTGAAGCAATGCTGTGTTTGATTGATTCTGTGACACATGTGTTTTTGCCTTTTAACTTTTTTGAAATCAGATGTGATTTATTCTTGATGTGTCCTGCAGTCACTGTCAGGTTGTGTTAGAGTTGTCATTACCTGTGCAAGTGGACATGGTCGTTATTCCTGGTGGCAGGGCTGGACCTCTGCAACCACAGCCCCTGGATGCTTTTGTCCCCATACCATTTAAGGGCCATTTGAAGAAGGGGCACGAATCCTGATTGCTGTTTGAAAACCATCCATTGATACCTTCTGATGAGATCAAGAAAAGGTATCAAAACTTACAGAGTGAGGGGCAGCAGCTTGGAAGAAAATCTGAGAGAGAGATGATGATGGTCTCTTAAGAAATGCGGTGTCCCCAACACCCTCGATGGCATGAAGGTCGATACTGTGTGGGAACTCACAGATATCCTGAAAGTGAAGACTTAATCAACTTATTTCGCTCATCTTTTCCTTTTTGTGTGTGTATGAGAGAGAGATGATGGTCATCTGTTTAAAGAAGTCTAAAAGAGCTTTTTCAATAACCACAAAATTAAAATTCTAAGTGATAAGAAAAACTAATTGGCAGTGTATTTTCTTTCTTTTTTCAGTCTTACAATTGATTGCATTTTAGATATAATGAGATATGGCATGTGGTTGTTAGTGTACAAATTTTAAAAACATAGATACATTTTAAAAAACCCAGAAATCTCAGAGATAATCATTAACATTTTGATACCAATTAGTCCTCCACTCCTTCTCTGTATTTACAGACATACACATATGAAACCGTCAACCAGTTAGCCATTGATGATTAAGTAGCCAGGAACTAATGTTCTTTTTCCTTTTTGCAATTACTCATTATAGCTTTTAGCTGTTTATCCTACCCATTGTTAACTGTGCTGTTTAGGCAGTATGCTATCTGACTCCCTCTAGGTTCCTATAGATAACATCTCCCTGGAGCCTGGGTCACCATGGTAATGGGTGTTTAGACTGTTTTTCAGGAATTAGAACCCCTTTGTCCACTCCAGGCCAGTTGAGACCACCAACTCATCAGCTGGACCCACACAGAAATCTGATAGGTGACCTTTTCATGTCAGGAGGCTAAAAACTCCACCCTCACATCAGGTTCATACTGCCATTTTGTGAGCATGCGTCCTCTGAAGAGGCATGAAGTCTGACTGTGCATGTACACATCATCAATTACTTCACCTCTCCTCGCCTCCAGTGACTTATCTCCACATTTCAGACCACCTTGCCCCACTATCCCATAAATATCCTTGAGTTCCTGTTTTTGGGGAAGTGGATTTGAGACTCATGCTCTTGCTTCCTCACGTGGTTGTCTTGTGATTAAACTCTCTGTCTGCTGCAATCTCGTCATCTCTGTATTTGGCTTTCCAGGTGGCAGGCAAAAGCGAACCTGGCATGGTAACACACGTATTTGTGGCACATACGCTACATATATTTTTGGTCTTACCTTTTTCTCTGAAAAGTGTATCTTAACCATCTTGCCATGTCCAGTTCTTTTAGTTTATGTTTTCAAGATTGGTTAGTATTTCATTGTGTGGATGCACTGTCATTTGCTCAGCTAATCGCCACTTGATGGCCTATAAGTCCTGAAACATGCTCATTCGCCTCAGAACTCCCATTAGCAGTGCCCGGCAGCACTCTCTTCCTTACTCTTTCCCACAGTGTGTTGTAAATCCTTTTATCTTGGCCAATCTCATAGGCAAATCAGTGAGGTCCTTTTTCCTCGAGACATGGGAACCACTGGCAGTCATCTTGATTTGAAGATCAGAAAGAAACACGTGTTAGAAACACCAGGAAGCAGGAATTGTGGGAACTAGGATCAGATGTACTTGTGTTACGTCCTGTTGCATCTCCCCACCTTTTGTGCTGCGCATCACTGACCACGTCCAGCGTGCTGTTGAGATCAGTCCCAGGCTCCTGCCAGGCCCTCTGTGACCTCAGCTGGCTTCTCTCTCTAGAGTCCTCTTTGGTTTCTCCTGTTTTCTACTGTTCTCCAGCCCCCAGGCCTACTTCCCGATACTAGAACGCTCCCAGTCCATTCCCACCCCACAGGGTTTCTATCTGCTGTTCCTCCCGTCTGGAATGCCTTTGCACAGCTGACTTTCTCCAATTCCCTAGGATTCAACTCAGCGTCCCCTTTTCAGAGAGGCCTTCCCTTTCACCTTCTCTAAAGCAGGTCCCTCTATCCTCCATACTGTTGAATCCTTCATTTGTTATAATCTCTTATTTATGTTTGTCTCCGTCCCTTGTCTGTCTTGTCACCACTGTATCCCCACTGCCTGGCATTTAGCAGACACTCAATAAATATTGCTTGACTGAATCAATAGTATTTAATTGACTGATAATACAGAACTGAGAGGAATAGAAACTGCACCTTGTTATCCAAGAGGCAATAATAAGTCCAGGAAGGAGCGCTTAGAGGGAGGCAAATTGACCAGCTTTTCAGCAGTTGCTTAGCAGTGGAGTGAGTGCCTTCTTTGTGGGGAGTAGTCAAGCAGTGGCTTAATACTGTTGAAAGCATTCTTGCGCTGGATATTGGAGTTGACTAGATCATTTCTGAGTCCGCTTCCTACCCTTAACCTGTTTGTTTGGTTTGTGTTCTCACTGCTCTACCACTCCTGCCTCAACTGCAGGTATGGCTTTTACCGCCAGATGGCACCAGAGGATTCCTTTGAAATCAGTGTTCATCACATGGCCACCAACAGTGAGAAAACACATTTCATTGCCCTTAGACCCCCAACATGTGCTTGAAACAACAGCTTCACAAAACAGTCTTAACCCTTACTATGTGTAATGCATGCTTATATTTTCTGTTTTACTTTGTTTTTTTAAATGCAGACTTGTATAGTATTAAACTGATTTCATATTAAAACAGCTCACTGTTGGAAAAGCACTGTTTTAGATCACTGAGCAGGTTTACTCTGTAAAACTTGTGGGTCTGCTGTTTTCCTTGAACATCTGGGCTTATAGCAAATTGTGTCCCTTAGTGAGTCTTTGTGTGTTTCTGTGCTGAGTTACTGCATCGAGTAGCTGAACACATGCTTCCTTATGAGTGTCTATGGATGTAGAAATATGGATGGAGAGACTGTGGGGGACATGTTTGTAGGGAAGTCAGCACCTATTGCAGTCAAGGCAGCAGCAAGCCTTGTGAGTAGATGTAAAGAAAAGATGGTATCTGCTTCTGGGGCCTTTGAATCCAGCTGGGTGAGATCCCATACACACACACTCACACACACACACGCCCATATCTTAATTTTCAGCTTATTTATCAAGCAACATGGAGATGAGTGTATTATTTGGGATCTCACTTAGGATGCTTCAGCCTGCAAGTAACAGAAGCTGGGCTCAAGTTGGCTCAAATGGTGAAGACGTTTCTTATCTCACAAACTATCCGTTGAGAGGTAGAGCAGGCTCCAGATCCACAGGGGTGTGGCATGGCATTGCCTTAGGGATCCAGGTTCCTTCCATGACTTCTCAGTTGTCCCGATGCTGGTTCCACTCATGGTTGCCAGAAGACTTCCAGTGGTAATCTGGGCTTCAGCTCCTAGGCTTGGAACACTAAAACCTTAATTCCTTGTAGTGTACACTGAGAGAGAGTTTAGGCTACCATAGCATTTTCCAGGTTGTAGCTGTTTTGTTTACTTTCCCCTGGTTTCCCTACTATGACCTCCTTGAGGGACGTGAAATGACTGGCACTTAACACAGAGTTGGGAGAAGTACTTAGGTAGTTGTTAGTGATGTTTGCCAGATACTTCTGGGTCTCCCTTCTCTGGACACAGCACTTTTGGTTGAGTAGAGTTATCTGACTAGATCTGGCCAGTGAGTTTGCTAAGTGAATAAATAGTTGTAAGTGATCAGTGTGAAGTATGAGGTTAGGTTATTTGCTGTTTAGGCTTCTGGGAAAGGAATTAGCGACATGAGGAAAGAGAGAGGTAAGAAATGACCACTGTGGGAAACGTGATGGGCATGTATATGAATAAAAAAATGGATGGATGAGTATGTTTAAATTTGTAGAGGAGCACTATATGTGCATTGATTGGCCTTTTGAGGGAGATAATTTTCCTCTCAATCCTTGATCTGGCTCCTGGGAACCTGGCCTGAACCTGTTCTCTACTCACCTGCCTCCTTTTTCATCCCTTTCAGGTTTGCAGTAAGCATTGGCTACTGGCATGACCCTTACATCCAGCATTTTGTGAGACTGTCTAAAGAGAGGAAGGCCCCTGAGATTAACAGAGGCAAGTGACCATCCCCCTCCCCAGCATCTCCTCATCAGCCGAGAGGCCTGAGGTTTTAGGGATTCATTCTTAGAGAGTTCCGGTGTGCACTCTCTCCACTAGTATATGGAGTGCTAATTTCCCAACATCCTCACCAACACAGTGTATTATGGAACTGTTGAATCTGTTAATCTGATACTTGAAAAATGCTATAGTAATTTTATTTTATATTCCTCCTATTTATGGGTAAGGTTGAAGATCATTTTCATATGTTTAAAAGCCATGCATATATCTTTTACTGTGAATGGTCTATTTTGCTGCCTTACTAAAGTGTTAGTAACAGTATTAGGCTCTGCAAATAATTTCCATCAAGGAAGTCAAAGAATTTGAGACAGGAGTGTGGCGTAGCCTCAGCCAGACTGAGAAACTGACCAGGTACTTCTTGTGTATGCTGGAAATCTTGGCCCTAAGGATGGATCCTGTAGGTAGGTTCTTTCAGAAATACAAAGAAATTTTGAAGTGGAGGTTCCTGAGAATAAGGACACGGTATTTCCTTTGAGCTGAGGGTGAATCCAGGCATCCGTAAGATTGGGCGAGGCCTGGCAAAGAGGCCTTAAGCCTCCCTCCTGTGCTCTTGAGGCAGATCTCCTTCGGAATGCTGCAGAGGGACACACCATGGCGCTTGACTCTGTGCCTCGGGCAGCATGTCAGCCCTCCTTCCTTCCTTCTTCCTCCCCCTGGGTTTGCCTGTGTACTGGGGACCTGCAGCCCAATAGGAGAGTGCTTCCCAAACAGCGTGTGGTGAGGATCTTTTTTCCCCAGTATCCAATCCATTGTGGATGACATTTCTGTAAAATACAATAAAAATGATTTACTAGAAAAATAAAATGAATAAGACAGGCAAAATACAAGCCCAAATTATTTATTAGTAGATTCCACAGGCATAAGATTCCTCTGTCAAATTGCAATAAAACTTTTTTTTTTAAAGATTGGCACCTTGTGCTAACATGTGTTGCCAGTCTTCTTTTTTTTTTTCTTCTCCCCAAAGCCCCCCGGTACATAGTTGTATATTCTAGTTGTGCCTCGGTTGTGCTATGTGGGATGCCACCTGAGCATGGCCTGACGAGTGGTGCCATGTCCGCACCCAGGATCCAAACCAGTGAAACCCTGGGCCGCCAAAGCAGAGCATGCGAACTTAACCACTCAGCCACAGGGCCAGCCCCACAATAAAAGTTTCTAAATGCCACTCTCAAATTTTGTTCTTGAAATAGTCACACTTAGAGCAGCCAGCCTTACAACACAGACAGACTTTATCTTCCTTTGTTCTTCTTTATTTCTCATGTCCTTTGCCCAGCTCCCCACCCCAGAGCTTAACAAGTCAATTTGTTAGACAAGCATTCCTCCCCCAATCTGTGATGCCATGTTACAGACACCGAGGCTCTAACCCATACAGGGTGGAGATGACAGGAACACAATAAGAAGTGTGGCGTTCTTTGCTTTGACACTCATCCATCCAATATCCTGACCTAAAAATACTATTTTCCATATGATCTTGCAATTTCGAGTTTTACCACAGAACTAAGTAGCTTTTACTATAGCTATGAAAAGGCACACTTCCTAGAGGAAGATTTAGATCAGATGTTTTGATGTAAAATACTTGTCTTTCGTAAGTAAAATTATAGTGCATTTTATTTTTCTTAGGATAGTTAATTCTACCATTAAATAGATTGTACTTACTTTGGTTCAAACGGCTGAAAAAAAAAGAGAATTTAAAATTTGCTATTTGTCCTATAAAGTCACGGATAATCCACTGACCCCGAGGAAGGGCAGAAGTGCTCTGTTTGGCTCTCCTGCTGCAGAGAGCTTTGCAGGGATTATTTCTCATCGCTGAGTGACAGCTTGTTTCTGTCTCTCTCTGTTAGGATATTTTGCTCGTGTCCATGGCATCAGGCAACTTATAAAGGCATTTCTACAGAAGACAGAATGTCAGTGCCAAATTATAAACCTGGGGGCTGGGATGGATACCGCCTTCTGGACATTAAAGGTAAGTTAAAATTCCCCCTCTTCTTTCCCCAGTTGTTTAAATTTGATTTTGTGAAGATTTTCACCATATTCAAAACTTTTAAAACTATATTAAAAGGGATGCAGTGACAGCCTGTCTCCCACCATTGTCCCCACCTACTTGCACACCCCCCACAACCCCCATCAGCCCCGTACTTTATCTCACCGGGGCCCTAGTGAAGGATATGTGGGTTGTTTCTCATCTTTTGCTGTTACAAACAGGGTTATAATAAAAATCTTTGTATATATTTCCCCCTGCATGTGTGGAAATATATCAGGAGAGAAAATTCTACCAGTGGAATTGCTGAGACAAAGAGCACATGCGTTTGTAATTTTGATAAGAACTAAGATTTTATTGTCAGCATAGCAGTGTTTAGGTAAAATTTAGCTGGGCGATGATAATATGATACAAAGCCCTTTTGTAGCCAATCTCTGATTTGATCCTTTACCTGCTCTGTTAGGATTCAAGAGCAGGTGTAATTGCATTCACAGGACAGGAAACTTGGGTCTCATTACCGGCAGAAGCAGGACGAAAGCACTGGGCTTTGACTCCTGGGGTGGAATTTTGCCTTCAAACCTTTGCCCTACGAAGATTCCACTGATCGTATTTTCTTTTTTGTAGGTTTGTACAGATTTTTTTAGGGTCTTCTATCAGGTTAGTCATGTGGCAGTAATGGGTATGTGCATTTCTCCAGATGTACACCAAGGTAAATTAGAGTGTGTGGGCATAACCCGACCTGCATATCTGTTTTGTCCCTAATCAGCTCACCTGATAAGATGGTCTTTAGTCATCAGAGCTCCCAGCCTTTCTCTTACTCAAGCGAGAAGTCGGTGGCATCAACATGGTCTTAGTATTAAATGTTTGCCTCTGCATTCTTCATTTAGGATAGGATAACTGACATTTATGAGGTGCTTTTACATACATGGCCTCACGAATTAACATGAGATCTCTGTGAGAGGGGAGAGTTTTACACAGATGGGGAAAGTGGGGCTGCGAGAGCTTGTGTCTTCCCCCAAATTGGATATCTGGTGGCACTGGAATGTGGAACAAACATTGGAGCCCAGCTCATCGAACTCCAGACTCCTTCCCCTTTCCTCTACACACAGCCCTGTGGGTGTTCCAGGGGTTCTTTTCTGTAGGTTGATTGTGCCTGTGTAACACGGGGACCATGGTGTAGCAGAAGGAACTGGAAGAGAATGCAGCGTAAGCGAATGTGCCGTGTCAGTGTTCACAGGGGCCGCTGGAGAAATCCCTCCTTTGGGCCTGACACCCTTTTGACTGGTCACATGGTTTGGTTTTTTCCCCTGTCTTGCAAGTGAGTTAATAATTAATAAATCTGAGATCTTTATTTCTGAGCAAGGTACACAGAGGCTTACGTGCTCCTTCCAAGAAAAAGGTTGTCTGTCAGTAGTGAGGAAGGAGAAGAGCACAGGGTCTGAAAGTCTTCTGTGGAAGTTTTTTGTTTTGTTTGATAATCATATTGGTCTGAAGGGATTTTTAAAATCTGAAGTTCCTTTTTTTGGAAAAACAATTATTATGTTTGCTCTTTTGGAGCAGAGGTTGCATGGGCCAAATCCAGCCTGCCACCTGTTTTTAGAAATCAAGTTTTATGGGATGCAGCCACTCCCATTTATTTCCATATTATCTGTGGCTGCTTTAGCACTATGACCGCGGAGTTCAGCAGTTATGACAGAGACCGTCTGGCCTTCACAGGCTAAAATACTTATTTCTGATTCTTTACAGAAAGTTTGCTAATCCCTGTTTTAGAAATATATGTGCTCCTATAAAAGAGTGAGGAAAATCTTGTCTGTTGGTCTTGTTGTCTCATGCACCTCCCACCTTGGATGGTCCCCTGGCTGCCCCAGCAGAGGCTTAGCTGTGAGTCAAGGCTTTCTGCTGTCACTACTATATGAGTTTGGTCTGTATGATCTCAGGGGCCCAGGACTGGAGGGTTGAAGACACCCATCTTCGGGCAGCGGGCAAGAATAGGGCAAGGGAGAGCCGGTATTGTCATAAAGAATAAGGAGTGAGTGAAACTCTTAAGGGGCCTCAGTTGTTTGGTGTCTCTTGAATTCTGTTTCTACAAACTGAAAGGTCAAGTACGTAGGGGAAGGATTGTCAATTTTGCTGGCCTGTGAAACGGTCGGCCATGTTGGATCTGCTTTGAGACTAAGTGGTACCCTTCCTCCTGGCTGCCCTCTGGTACTTATAGTCAGTCTTGGGTGTCTTCCCTGCCTCCTTGAGACGTGTGAGCTACTTGGGAGTGGAGTGTCAGAAGGGCCTAGAGAATCACAGACTAAAAAGTGGAAGTATCACTTCCCACAGCCATTTTGCCCTTTTCTGAAAGCCGAGAAAGAGGATGTCTGTTTCTTAAAAGCTCCAGGTGTGCCTTTTGGAAGCTTCCCTTCCACAGTGCCCTCTTAATCAGAATCGTTAGGAGGATCAAGTGAGCTACTGCAGGGAAAGCTCTTTACAAAGTAAGAAGACCCGTTTGAGTTGTAGGACTCTGTGCTATCCATCATTCATTTGATTTTAATTCTTGTCATTTTACACTATCTTTAACTTTCCATACCCTGTGAGTAAAAGTTCTTGAAAGGTCTTGTAGAATTTCCTAGAGAAAGTTAGGAAACCCCTTAATGGGTTTCACTCACTCCTTATTCTTTGTGACAATACCGGCTCTCCCTTGCCCTATTCTTGCCCGCTGCCTGAACATGGGAGTCTTCAACCCTCCAGTCCTGGGCCCCTGAGATCATACAGATCAAGTTCATGTAGCAGTGGCAGCAGAAGGCCTTGACTCGCAGCTAAGCCTCTGCTGGTGCAGCCAGGGGACCACGCCAGGTGGGAGGTGCAATTTCCACATATCCTCTAAACACGTCCTCCACGGATCTTCAAATAGATTACATAGCCCTACTCTGCTGATAGGCGGGAGCTCCTCTGATGTCAGAAAACTGTCTTGTTTATTCCCCAGCCCCCCCCCCCCCCCCCCCGCCACCACTGCCTCCCTCATACCTTCCTTTCCTTCCTCTCTTCTTTCTCTCTTTCTCTTACCCCATCCTTCCCTCTCTCCCTCCCTCTCTTCCTTCCTCCTCCCCCACCCCTCCAGATCCCCTAGGAGTTTAACTGAGGACCAGTGTCTGCATAGGGTGGGGCAGCTGGATCTCACATTTCTGACACTTGCCCTTAGGCGTCACCTTCCTACTAGGAAATGCTTGCTCATGATTTCTACTCTCATCATGCTGTCCCATCAGGGGGTCTGCTGCCCCTCCATACTGCTCTCCATCTCTTACTACTGTCTACATAAATGGTTCTCTCTCCTGCCCAGTTGCTCAGGGCAGAAACAAGGGTGCCATCCTTACTCCTCCTTTTTCTTTATCCCATCCTCTATTGAAGCCGCCACCAGGTTATGGATATCAGCAGCTTTCTTTTTAAATAAGTAGTTCTGTATTTCTGGAATATAAGCACAGATGGAAGCAGGGATGTTAAAAGAGTACTAGGCCAGAAGGTGGGCAGGTCGGCCAGGTTGTGGAGCACCCAGCATCTTAGCTCAATCTTAGAGGGGGGAAGAGCTGCTGCAGGCAACAGGAAGTGTGTCGTTGAAAGAGATCAGAAAGGGATGTTGTTAGAGTCTGTGCAGTTGGGGATAGAGCTGAAGAGGAGAGGATGCATTCTAGGATAGTCAGCAGGCAGGGCTGAGTGATTGATCAGACAGCGTGGAGATGGAGAGAATTCTAGGATGACCAGTGGGTGACTGTCGGGAGGAGGGTATTGTACCAGCCAAGCTAGGGAAAGCAGAAGGGGGAAGCAGGGCCGTGTGTGTGTGTCTCTATGTGTGAGGTTTTCACAGTTTTTTTTTTTATTGCAGCTCACAGTAAAAAATAAATGTATATCCCAATCTAGCACCCACATCTCTGTACTGATGTCTGTAAATAATAAGAATACACACATGGTGCTTACTAGGTGCAGGCCCTGTTCTCTCACTCCTGTATTTCCTCATTAATCCTCACAACCCCACGAGGTGGTATCATTTTCTCTACTTTTCAAATGAGGAAGCCTTGACCCAGGGAGTTTAGTGACTTTCCCAAGCCCTCAGAGTGAACAAGTGGTGGAGCTGGGATTTGAACCCTGTCCGCCCGGGCTGCAGAGTCCCTGTCCTTCACCACCCCAGTATACTCCACTGTCAGAGAAAAAAATAAATATATTACAAAATAGTACTTACCCTCACCTCATGTGATGCTTTCTGGTATTTGCTATTTTATTTCATTTCATCCAAAAGATTCTGGTCCAAACCCACTACACTGATTTCCTGACCCTCTCTAATTGGTCTCAAGCTGCTTACTGTTAACATCCTACTTCCGGAGTGCCTCCTGCTCCTCCCCACTCCATCCCAGTGGCCACTCCCCCAGTTCTGGCTGCCTATTACTTGTTGTCTGGACAATCACAGTAACCTCCTAATTTTTTCCGCCATCTGTTCCTCATACTGAGACCAAAGTAATTTAGAAAATATGTTTCTGACCATATCATCCTCTGATTTAAAATCCTTAAATACCCCATTGCTCTTCGGGCCTTGGTACTTGGTTTGTGAGGATGATCAGTGAATATATGACTGAATAAATAATTATAAAGATAACTGTGTTTTTTCTCAGGATGAGGGTCTTCTCCCAAGGAAATATTTTGAAGTTGACTTTCCGGTGATAGTCACGAGAAAGCTACACAGCATCAAGTAAGTGTGGCTTTGGCCAGAAGAAAGAGCCTGGTAGAATTCAGAACCAGCCTTCAGTAGACAGCAGGTCTGAGTCCCAGAGACCTCATTTTAGGGCCCTGCTCTCCTCACTTGCTTTCTTGCCCCGAGACCCTCATTCCAGTGTGTCTTGCAGTCTTCAAAATGAAAAATACCCTCCCTTCTGACTCTTCTCTCCATTAATGTAACTTCTCTCAACACTTAAAAAATGACCTATCATAGTTTAGTAATCTGAATTAAAATTCACATAATGTGTATTTTGTTTACTTCTTTATCCCAGGGCACAGAAAGGTACCTGGTCCAGAAAAGATATGTAGTAAATACTTTTTGAATGAATGAATGAATGGGAAACTGAACTTAATCATTTATTATATATGAGATATGTGGGGGCCATTCTGAGTTGAGGTTTCAAGGAGTTTGCAAAGTTGTAGATGATGAGTTTGCTCATCTTTGCCGAGAGCTTTGCGTGTTAAATGCTTCACTTGGATTGTCTCATTCAATCCTCAGAGCAGACTCGTGAATTAGATGCTATTATTAGCCCCTTTTTACAGATGAGGAAACTGAGGCTCAAAGAAGTTAAGTTAATTTGCCTAAAGTCACCTGGCTAGGAAGGGGTGGAGCTGAGCTTTAAACCCTGACTTCAAGCCCAAGGTCAAGGTTTCTCAGTACAGTCGTGTGTCCCCTAACAGTAACAGGGATGCGTTCTGAGAAATGCATTGCTAGGTGATTTCAGTGTCGTGTGAATATCGTGGAGTGCACTTACACAGTCCCAGATGGTGTAGCCTACTATACACCTGGGCTATATGGTGCTAATATTGAAGGACCACTAGCACATATGCTGTCTGTAGTTGACTGAAACGTCGTTATGTGGTGTGTGACTTAGTTTTAACCTGTACTCCCTCCTTTTAAAATCATTTAAATAAAATTCTAATTCTTATATTTAAAAAAAATTTTAATAAGCGTGAAAGTTTCTACCTGTCCTTTAGAGATGTCTAATCCTCACAAACTGGAAATATTTTTCAATTTTTTTTTTCTAGTTTATCCTAGGAATATAACTTTTTTACCCTTTCCAAATATAAAATTATATTTTACATTAAATAGGCTTTTTGGATAATATATGGCAATTCTGGTGCTCTGGGAACTGCAAAGTACTACTAAGCTTGTTAAAACTCTGAGTGAAATAAGAGTAAGTAGGCTCTAAATCAAGGCCAGACACGGTTTCCTGGGGTGAAAACCACAGTGGCGTTTGTGTATGGTTATTGGTATAATGAATTTGGCTCTCCGATTTCTGATTTTTTACATATTCTTCATTGAGGGAGTTATCACATAAATGTTACTGAACTTTAGGTCTGAGTGAAAGTCAATTTTTGTTATCTGTGAGAAACAATAGCTATCTTAAAAATTTTGTTTGAGAAGAGGCAAGAAACTTGAGATGACCTGGAAAACGCTGGAACATTTGGAAAATGCATGCTAGCCTATCTGTAGCTATTTCTAAGTATTTCATGATCAGTTTGCAATTTGACATCAAATTCTGAGTGTAATGCTTAGCTGACCTAACCCGAGACCTGTATCCACTGGATTTTTGCTGTACGTGGTCAAATGTAATTAAACAGAAGGCCTTCTGTAGTGGCCCTTGCTTTGAACAGTAGCAGTATACAAGTCCCATCTCTGTAGTGGGCCTCTGCATTTTTAGAGTACATGAGCTACTTGTCTTACCCTTCTCTCTCCCATCTTCCCATAGATTCAAGTCTCTCCTATCAAAACCCATTTTAGACTTACATTCAGAGGAGACACTTCAAATAGGTAAGTATCCTTGACCTAAGTGATACAGTACAGACTATGTAACTGTTTTGGCTTTTTCCCCCTTTTCTTCTTAAAGATGGTCTGTATCTGTGGGCATGTGTGTGCGTACACACAATGTCATACAGCATGTACTTCTGCTGATACATTTAGACTTTTATTGCAGTTACCATGGAGGAATTTAGAACAGTTTCTTGTATGACTCTTCTTAAATGTCCATAGGTCCCCAATCTTAAATCTTTTAAAAAAAAATTAAATTAGCTGCCAACATTTCAAAAATAGGAGATTTTTCATGAAAATCTTGAATTCCAGCTTTCCTTGGCAAAGTCAGATCTGGCAGCATTAGACCCAAACTCCTACGTGGCAATAATTGAGCAGCGGCCACCTCGTTTGGAGGGGTCGTGCGTTCTCCACTTCTGTTCCCACCCTTCTCCGTTGTCTTATACCTTACCTACTTCCCTCACTTCTGTTACCTCCTCAGCCCCTGCAGTCAATTTTTCCCCTCAAGTTTTAATTATGAGTGTTTCCAACAACACTTTCCTCATCTCTAAGCCTTTCAATTTATGGAAAACCTCTTCCAGAATCTTCCATCATTTTCAGTCTGTGTCTGACAGAGAAGTTCAAGGGGCTTATGAATAATTCAGGTCAGAAAACATGCTTGGAGAGGATGGTCGTCTCGGATGCTCAATACAATAACACAGAAACATCAGACAGCTCGATAAGCCGCCTTTTACACACAGCCACAGTGCTTCAGTCCTTCTTTCCTTCTGGTGATGACATTCACAATTAAGTTTTTACAGAAAACATCTCCCCCATCCTTGGTTTCCCCCATACAGTTGGAAGTAGAACCTTTTCAGGCTTATGCCATTTGCTGGCCTCTTTGCTTTTCCACACTTTCGCTATCATAATTTTCTATATATTTGGTTAATATTTGTGTCAGAATGGTTATCTGTAACAAAAGATCTAATACTTCGCATTCCTTTTGATGAAACAACGTAGAATAGAATGTAAAGACCCTCCATAATCTCACCCACCCTCAGAAGATAACCACTATTCAGTGTCTTCTCCTACAGATGAGCAGTATACCCAGAGATAGATAAATAGATGCACACATAAATGTAATCCAGGGCCCGGCACATAAGAGTTTCAATAGACTTTTGTTGAATGAATGTATATACACATCGAATAAATATATGTTGTAGTTCACTATGTATTTGTTGAATGAAGGACTCTAAACTTAGATTTAAATGTAATTTTAATAAACAGTGAATAATTTATACATACTGTTTTGTAACTTGCTCTTTTCACACCCAGTAAATCATGGCTGTCTTTTCACATCAGCATATATGGGTATACCTCATTATATCTAATGGCTTGTAGTACTCCTTTGTGTGGAAATTCCATTTTTAAAAATCTGTTTCCTACTAATGGTCATTTAGATTGCTGCCTTTTTTATGTTTTTATCTTAAACAGTGTTGTAGAAAATGTGTGTGTGTGTGTGTGTGTGTGCATATTTGCAGGAATTGTTTGCTCAAAGAATTGCCCATTATGAATTTTAGTTACTGCCCGACTGTTCTTCAAGACCCTGTTTACTAATTTGTATTTTCACTGGAGTGGATGAGGATTCTCTTTCCCTACATTCTCACTTACACTGCGTATTATAATTTTTTAAAATTTCTACTGATCTGATAGGCTGAAATGATGTCCTATTATTTTAAAATTTTATATAACTTTGAAAGGTACTGAGAGGGAGTATCTTTCCTTAGTTTTATTGGCCATTGAGATGACTTTGTAAACTTCCTTTTTATTTTCTTTGCCCTTTTTTTTTCCAGGTGCATTGGTTCCTTTTCTTTTCAATTTATAGGAACCCTTTATAACATGAACATGTGTGTTTGATGAAGGTCCCTTGTCAACCTTTTTATTGCCGATTTTGTGTGTGTGTGAGAGGAAGATTGACCCTGAGCTAAAATCTGTTGCCAATCCTCCTCTTTTTGCTTGAGGAAGATTGTCACTGAGCTGACATCTGTGTAAATCTTTCTCCACTTTATATGTTGGACGCCACCACAGCATGGCTTGATGAGCAGCGTGTAGGTCTGTGCCCGAGATCTGAAACCACAAACCCTGGGCTGCCGAAGCAGAATGTGTGAACTTAACCACTGCCTCACCAGGCTGGCCCCTTATTGCAGATTTTTTTGTTAATCTTTTATTTATTTTGTAACTCTATGTTTATGTCTCATGTAGGCAAATTTTTCAGTCTCGTCCTTTATAGTTTTTGATCTTGCCGTCATACTGAGAAAGAATTTGAATAAAAATAAATAAAATAGAAATGTGAATGAAAATTTGAGAAAGTGATGGGTGATAATAAAACTGACAAAAATTTCATTTAAAAATTACCCTAATTTCATCAAACCTCTGAGGCTGTGATTGTGAGAATCAGCACTATTTATCAATAAAAAAGAAAAAGTGGTGACAATTAAACCAATACTGTAACTGAACTCAATGGGTTCATCTCTTGGTGAGTGTGGAGCCAAAAAGTACAACCAAGGCAGAAGTAGGTGAAGAAAAGTTTTATTGCTTACACAAGCAGTGGAGAACACCACAGAGAGAGCTCCCAAAGCAGCGTGTCCTCTAGCTCAGTGCCGAGGAGACTTTATACACAGTTCATTTTGGGTGCATGCGTAGTAGACAAAAATGCTATCACATACATGCATGATCTGAAAATGGCTGCTTGGACCCTCCTAGCGGAGGAGAATTTAAGACACTAATATGTTTAAGGTAACTTTAGGACACTTGGAGCTGGAGCATTTTGCAGGGATCTTGCTGCAAACGTGTGAGTTTCTCTGCAAGATAGCAACATCTGCAAACTGGGGACGTCAGTTTCTGCAAAACAGAACACATAGTTTCTTCTTGTCTGAAAAACATTTGACAGACCATGTTAGTTCCTGATCAGATCCTCAGTAACCCTTTCTCTGCCTGGCTCTCTGGTCACAGTACCTCACTGACTGGTAGAGGCATCCTGATTCCAAAAACATTAAAATATGAAGAAAAAATCTGCATCTTAGAATTGATAATGTATTTTTTAAGCTAAAATATGCACAGAGTAAAAAATTAAAAGTATATAAGTGGACACACAGCAAAAAGTAAGTCACAATGAGTTCTTAAAAAGTAAATCAGGTTCCATTACTCTTTCTTGAAACTTCCCACTGGGTGGGACCTGGTGGTTATTCGGGCCTGTCTGTGCCTCCTGATTTTATTTTCAGTCACAGTAACCGATTGGCCGCACTGTCCTCCTGCTGTCCTCTGAGTGTGGCAAGCTTGCTCTCACTGTCAAACCTTTCCACTTCCTCTTCCCTCAACCTGGAACTCTTTCCCCCTAATCTTTGCTTGATGAGCTCAGCTCTGCTGCCGTGTCTCAGCTCAGCTGCTGCTTCCACAGAGAGGCCCTCCCTGACCACCCGGCTGAAGACCCTCTCCCTCCTCCTCTAGTCTGACTCTCCTCTCATCACCCTCTTTTAGTTTCTTCATGGCACTTAATACTCGGACGTTATCTTGATTATTCATTTGTTCAGTGATTCATTTTCTCTCTCCCTCGTCTAGGGAGTAAGCCTCATGAGAGCAGGGACCTCTTCTGTCTTGTTCATCACCGCTTCTCCAGCGAGAAGATTGTTGACTGAATAAATATATACCTGAATGCTAGAATGAATGAATGTGTTTGTGTGTTTGTAATCCATCTCAACTCCTTTGTGGAATTAGATGAACATAAGTACAGTCGTGCACCACCTAAGGACATTTCAGTTAACAACAGACTGCATATATGGTGATGGTCCCATAAGATTAGTATCATATAAGACTAGGTGTGTAGTAGGCTATACAATCTAGGTTTTTGTAAATGCAGTCTGTGATGTTCACACAATGAAGTCACCTAGTGACATGTTTCTCAGAACATACCCTGGTCATTACGTGATGCGTGACTGTAAAAGGAGCAACAAATAAAAGCATTTCAGAGTGGTAACAGGCAGTTCATCTGAGCCTTAGAAGGAGAAGCTATCTAGGGAGAAGATTGTCTCAACAAGGCAGGCTTAGGGAAGGAAGGAGCATGCAAGGAACTCTAAAGGCCAGTGCGGCTGCAACTGGAGGTGGAAGAGGTGCACAGTTCCAGATGAAGCTGAAGAAGGTGTCAGGTGCTGCACCACGCAGGATCTCCTGGGCCGTGCTAAGAGCTCCGGACTCCCGTGTAAGGGAAGTGGGAAACCTATTATGCACTCCCACAGGCTACTTTGCAGCACTTCCCACCCGTGTCCTTGTTCACTCTTCATCTCCCCTGCTGGATTGTAAAGCCCATGGGGGCAGGGACCATGTCTTTTTGTTCATCTCTTTATTCCAAGAACTTGGCTCAGTGCCCAGGACATAATGAGAGCTGGGTGGACAGATGGACAGATGAACAAGCAAATCTTCCATATGGTCTGGAAATCCACCTGAGGCTGTCTCCATTTTACAACCTTTTTTTTTTTTTAACTAAAGTGTTCTAGGAAAATCTATGGACCTAAAAGAACACCTGGCAATCCTGAATAATAATAGACTATCATTGAATGAGATTGATAGGATTCACTGCGAGTCAGCAGCATGTAGAACGCATCTCTCTTGAAATGCTCACCTGGAGGTGATGGAAGACATCGCTACTTGCATGCACTGTGGATTCAGTGTGTGGTACATTGTGTAAATCTTCCACTTTCTCATGAACCTTTTCTAGGCTTGAGCTTCATGAAGCAGATAATTAAAGCTTGTATGAGCTGTTGCAGCAAACCACTGCTCTGTAACAAACCACCACAAAGCCTCTGGCTTAAGACAACCACCATTGATTGAGCTCACAATTCTGCAGTCTGGGAGTTTGTGTTGGGTTCATCTAGGTGAACTCCTCAACTGGGCTCGTTCAAGCACCTGCCTGGATTGAATCACTTGTGGACTTGTCTCCACAGAAGACCCCCACCGTGTACTAGGCAGGGAGCTGGGCCAAGGGGCTCCAGCCTTTCTTGGTTCACTGTGCCCTAAGTGTCTCAGAGAGTAATGTTTCCATGGTGCCCCTAGGCCAAAAGACACATCAACGGTTCTGTTTGTTAATGACTTGGGGTCAAACATTCTAAGTATTTATGTCCTCACAATTTACTAGTCACTTGAAAAAAACTAACACATGCAAATTGAAACAACGGATACTATTTTTATTTCTCTCTTAAATAACCACAGTTCCTTCTCCTGGGATGTGCCCCTGTTGGGCACATCATGGCTTCACCTTGGAGTCGGACTGAATACCACCTGTTCCACAGTGATGTTCCAGCAGGACTGGCTTTTAATCACAGCCACATCTGAGGAAACAGCTTCACAGAGGTGTCATTGAAAGGGATGCAGAGAAGGATAAAGTCGAAACTGTGATTGCCTTGAGCTAGTAGTTTGCTTACAGCTGATCTGTGTTGAGTGTCTCTGTGTTTCCCTCAAACACTTAAAATATCCTACTATGCCCTTGTGGTTTGCTCTGCCACCCCAGGGCACCTCGGTACAGTTTGGGAACCATTGAGCTCAGCACTTTGGCACTGCCTTTAATCCTAACCATAATCATCTGAGGTTGGCGTTATCCACATTTTGTGTTTGAAAGAGAGGTAGCCTTGAGTAGTTATGTAACTTGTCCGGAGGCATGTGATTAGGAACTAGCAGAGTAGAAATCTGGTATCAGGGCTGTTTGAGACCAAAGCCCAGCCTGCTGAGATTCACTCCAAAGAGAGCTTTCATCTTGGGAACTATGTCCTGGGTAGAAAGCCACAGCATGTTAAGTTTCCCTATCAGATAATGATTAGGACTATTTAAGGATTTTTAAAATTTTAGTATTGACTAGTAGTCTTTGAGTTTTTGTGTGTAACTTCATTGTAAGGTTCTCAACCTCAGCAGTATTGACATTTGGGGCTGGATAATTCTCTGTTGTGGAAGACTGTCCCATACAATGTATGATGTTTAGCAGCATCCCTGGCCACAAGCATCCCTCAGTTGTGACAACCAAAACTGTCTCCAGACATTGCCACATGTTCCCTAGGGACACGGTTGCCCTGATTGAGAACCACTGCTTTAATGCAATAATGGCCAAGCCTGAGTAATGGGATTTTCATAACTGTCTTTTCATTCTGGCTGTGGGTAAATTTGTTCTTAATTTTTTAGCCATATTATGGTGTTATATTTTCAAGGCTTCTCCTCCCTCTCAAATTCTCTTAGTATTGATGACAAAAAAAACTACAAGTAGCAACACAGAAGTTTTAAATCAGTGTTAATTGGCCCTCCAGTGTTAATTGGAGATGAGTATGATCTGTTCCTTTAGAAAATTCTTCTTGTATGAGTATCACACAAAACACTTTCAACCCCGCCCCCCGTTTCTCTTATGAAATAGAATATAAGAGAAAAGGAAGGGATTGTGCATCTCACTTTGGTGAACAAGTTATTTGAAATCCCAGCTCTTAGAAACATTCCAGATGCACCAGTGGATTCCTGTTGTTCCCGTGTTCTCCTGCCAGTGTGAGATTTTATAAAAATGGCATATTTTCTCAGAATAGTAAAGCTCCTTCGAAACTTGCTCTGAGCCTGTATCCTCTCCCAAATACATTCTGTTGCCGGCAAAATAAGGGTAAGGCATCTTTTGAGGGCAGATACTGGGTGTACTATTTCTGCACAGCTTGAGTAGCTCCTGACTTCAGAGGGTCAACGAATCTTGGTGGGGTGTGCATTAATAGAGCCATCAGATTCTGTCATTAAAAGAGACCTTGGAGTCATCTTGTAGTCTGCTTCCCGTGAGGTATGCCAGCATGTCGTCATATATGGCTGCGCCACTGCCGGGTGGCGAGTGCGCAAGTCTCCAGCCCCTTCCGCTCTGCTCTACCTTGCGCTCAGTCTGTAAGAGAAATCGTGACAATGTGCCATTTTTGTTTCCCGTGCTACCTTTCAATCCTAATCTCTGAGTGAGATTTGTCTCCCCTGAATTGCATGGTCCTGGGGAGCTGCGTGCTTCAAAATTCTGGTGTTTTGTTTTGGTCAGGGATGGAAAAACTCAGTAATACATGTTACTTGCAAGAAGGCACAGATCATTATTTGCCTTCATAACAGGGCAGACAGGTGCCTCCATATTCTTTGTATTCTTTGTATTGTTTTCCAGACTTGGGTGTTGTGGCACCCCGGGGCTGACTTTGGATTTCCCTACTTGCCCTTTAGTGCTTTCCTGACATCTAGCAGGTTCCCAGGAGGTGCTGCTTTTAGCTTATGGTGTGTGGCCAAATATACTTGAATCAGCCAAATGGGGTTCTCGAGATCGTAGTGAGAACCTGCTTACATGCTATTGTTTAGCCTTTTCCAGATTTTTTGCTGTGGGTTCTCAGAGCCAAGAGAACCTGAGTTGTTAGCAGTGATACAGAATGGCTGTTGGATGTTTCAACTCCTTCCAAGGTTTGTACACTTGAGGAAGCTGAGTGAACAGTACTTGGAGTAAACAGTCAAGCAGTTTTCTTTCTTTTTTATTATAATCTTTTTTTTTGAGATTTGATTGAAAAAATTTTCAGCATACATAAAAATACTGTGACTAGATCAATGAACCTCCCTGTACCCGTCACCTAACTTTATTGCCAATTTCATTTCATCTGTACCGTGGTTCCAAAAGTGTGGTTCCAGACTAGCAGCATCAGCACCCTCTGGGTACTTGTTAGAAATGCAGATTTCTACTTTAGGAAAATCTACCAAATCAGAAACTCAGGAGTGGAGCCCCTCAATGTGTGATTCTGGTGCCTGCCCCAGCTTGAGAACCTCCATATATACCATTCCATCCAGTCTTCGCTGGAATATTTTAAAGCAAAGGTTATTTTATTTGTAAATAGTTTAGTACATAAACTATTTTCTTTTAAACATAGTATCTCACAGATTGGCACAACATTTAGAGAGCAGCCTGCTAATCAGCACCAACATTTAAATAAGCTTACCCTTTATCTCCTAATTCCACTTACAGTAACCTACTTTTTTAAAATTTAAATATATTTGGTACACAACATTGTGTAAATCTAATGTGTACAACATGTAAATTTGACACATTTACATATCATAATGATTGCCGTTGTAGTGATAATTAGCACCTCTGTCACGTCACATAATTATCATTTCTTTTTAGTGTTTGAGATAATTAAGATCTAGCCTCTTAGCAGGTTTGATGATTATAATACGATATTGTTGTCTGTCTTCACTATACTGTGCAGTAGATCCCTAAGACTTATTTACTGCTCCCTGCAAGTTTGTACCCTTAAATAGCATCTCTGTCTTAGGCGCTGCAGTGAGCATCCTGCAGATACATCATGAAGCACCCGTCCGGTCATTTCTTTAAGGTAGGTTACTGTGCACTTCCTTTAAAGAAATAATTAGACGGGTGCTTCATGATGTGTCTACAGGGATGCTCACTGCAGCGCCTTAGACAGAGAAAACTTGGCAATGCCACGTCTAATAGTGAGGGATCAGCTAAGTAAGTTGTTTTATCCACTCAGTGGAATGCCATGAAATCATTACAGAGAATGACGTTCCTGATACTGTTGTTAAGTAGGAAAAGGAGTTTTCGAAACAAGTATTAAGTGGCCCCATTTTCTTTTTTCTGTTTGGCGGGTATGTGTATGTGTGTGAGAAAGAGAGAGGATGTGTTTGTGTTGTGTTTAAGCACATAAGAAAAAAGGCTGGAATGTTATATACCAAAACACTAATAGTTATCTTTGGAAGGTGTGACTTTGGTTAATTTTCACCCTCCTCTTAGCTATTTTTTTCTTATGACGAGCGTATATTTTTATAATGGAAAAAAATAATAAAATTAATTTTGAATAAGCCATATCCATTGAAATGATAATCTCTTCTTGATTAATTTCTGTTGAAATTATCTTTTCTTGCATTTGCAGATGGACAAATGTTGGATTCAAAGAGATATGCTATTATTGGAGCAGATCTCCGAGATTTACCTGAACTGGAAGAGAAACTAAAGAAATGTAACATGAATACACAGTGAGATTTTTTTTTTAACCTCTTATGCATTTGTGATTTCATGCTAATATGAGATAAAGCCACTTGGAAGTGCAACATGATACCTGTGTCCTATTTTTTATTTTTTTTTTACCATTTTTATTTTTATCATTTCATTGCTACTTAGAGTAGTTTTCTGAAATTTTTTAGAAGGAGTGTTTCTCAAGTCTCTTTTCACATTAGAATCACTTGTATTGCTTTTATAAATTTCTGATGCCTAGTATCATAAACAAAGTTTGAGAGAACATGATTATATGCATAGAACCATATAATTGTAACATATAAAGAAAGGATCAGCATTCAGAATAAATAAAGAACAGTTATTGAAAAAAAAAAAGTCCCATAGAAAAATGGGCAAAGGATAGATGACCAGGCAGCTCAAAAAAGAAACTGAATAGCATATGAAATACATATTGAACCTCCATAGTAGTCAGATGAAATTCTATTTTACTCTCACCAAGTTGGCAAAAATGTAAAAGTCTTGACAATATCAAGTGTTGGCAAGGACACTGGGGAAAGGAATGGTTATATACCAGTGGTGGAAGTGAACTTGGTACAACCATTGTGAGAAGCAATCTGGAAGTATCTAGTAAAATTGCAAATGTGTGTACCATATGATATAGCAGTTCCACTTCTGAGTGTGTCCACTTTGAGAAGGTCTGTATGAATGTACAAGGAGGATGTTCATAGAAGCCACTGTTTTTAGTAGAAAATTGGAAACAACCTGAATGTCCATTAGGAGGAGAATGGCTGAATAACATGTAAATTGCATGGCTTAGATCAACATGGAAAGAACTCAAAACCTTGATGTTAGTTAAAAAAAAAAAAAATCAAGTTGCAGAGTAATATGCACAGTGTGATACCAATTATGTAAAATCAACCCCCCAAAATACTATATTTTCATGATTACATATACACATCACAAAAGTATTTTTAAAATGGACCAGAAGGGTTCCCACCAAATTCTTGAGAGTGGGTAACCTTTGGGGGAGCAGAGGAGAGAAGTGAGATATGTGGTTTTAGCATAAAGATGCTGGTCAAAATCAGATTGGAGGTAAAAAGTGGGAGGTAAAGACAAGTCTGTAAGTTCTACTGTAGGTGAAGATGACACTTTCAAGAATATTCAAAGTGAGTAACTCAAGGGAGAGGTTTAAGGGGAAGGTAAGGTCAAGGGAATGTTGGTTTAAAGAATAAATTGAAGGCAAAGAATCAGTGGCAAACGATGAAAGAAATTAGCAACTCAGGAAATCATTGCTAGAGAAGAAGGGAGGGAGGGGATGTAGAGCACGGACTCTGGTTAACTAGCCTTCCAGGGACGAGAAAGACCCCATTCTCCTGAGAGAGGAGGGAGGAGGGCAAATACAGGTGAGCTTTGGGCAGTAGAGGGAGGGAAGTAGGGAGTTAAAACAATCTTTCTAACACGTCTTTCATTAATGTGGTAATGGCTTTCGTGTCTGCATTTTGAAGTTCTTGTTTAGGTATTCAGCCTAGAATCATCAACCAGGTTTTCATTGTTAGGATTTACATATCCACTGCCTAAATGTTAGAGACAGCTCTAATTGACCCAGTGCTGTCACTCCAGCTTTATTTTCTGAGTCTGTCTCACTGTGAGTGTTCAGAGAGCAAGGTCAATATACTGTAAAGAGTATTTATGCCTCTTTTATTCTTTGAGGAACTCCTTACACTGTTCACAGGTTGCAGTGTGTAGTGTGTGCTTTAAGCAGAAGGGAAGTGTTGACGTTCAAGGACACCAGTGGTTTTCTTGGGCACGTTAGTGGTTGAAGTTGATACTGGTAAGCCTGGAGCTCCCTCTGAATGAGGGGAGCACGAGTCTTGGAATCTTTATCGTGGTTCCGATCTGACCTCTCCTGCTTGTTAGTTATTTCACAGGGGCTGTTTAAAAAAACAATACAAAAGCTCTTTGAGCTTTAGTTTCTTCCTTTATGAAGTGGGATGAAAACGACCTCACAGGATGGTTTTGAAGATTAATTTAAGTAATGCATATGAAAACAGTTGAACAGAAACTGGCGCATAATAGGCACACTCAGTAAGTTCCATCTGAATCCAGCTACAGTTGCAGGAACCACTGTTTTGGCAAAAGCGCTGAAAGATCAGGAAATAATCAGTTATAAACCGGGTAGCTCTTGATAGGGAAGTTCGCCTCACTTTTGGAGATCTACAAAACGGATGAAAAACAATTGATATGACATTTGTGTTCTATATATTTTCCTTTATGAGCTGTCTTTTCTGTCAGTTATATTTTGAAAAGTATTAGTCCTGTTTTTAATATTGCTAATGGCTACCTGTTAAAAATATTTTGTAAGCATTTTTAACTTTTCATTTTCAAATCAGATCTACAAAGAAGTTGTAAAAATTGTACAAAATATTCCCATATAGCCTTCTTCACCTAGCTTTCGCACGTTAATATCTTATAACGGTTACCTTTTGCATTGAAAAGATTTTTGAAACTGTATTTCTCTAATTATCAAAGTCTTAGATGAGGTTTTTGGAACTTTTTTTCACTCATTCACTTTTTCTGATCATTTCTATTGATATAATGTGGGGGTTAGACTTAGATTATTGTTAATTTTAAAAAATATTATTTTTAATGTTTTTCTTTCTGATTTCTAATTTTGTTTGCAACTCAGATTTAATTCTCTTTCCTCTGCATTTAGTGCCTTCAGTTTTTTTGTACCATGGTACAGTTGGGTCCAGGAAGCATTTGGATACATATATTTTTAAAACTTAAGTTATATAACATTTCACTGGCCAAAAAAAAGGAAATGCAGATAAGCAAAACAGGGGACAGTTGGTACTGTTGGGTCAAAGCCAGCATTTCCTTATGGGCGGCCTTTCTTTCTAAGGGTGTAGTGATCATGAAGCCAAGTACTGAGGTCGGCTGGACAGGTGTGAATTCTGCTGGGAACATGCAGTAGACTGTGGCCTTGGACAGCTTACTTCACCTCTGTGAATATCGGTTCCTCCTTTGACAAATGAGGATAATAATAGAACCCAACAATAAATGTTAGCAGTCAATGATGTTTGATAGTTATTTTTAAAAACATCTCTGAGCAATCATTGATTTGTGTAGTTTTAGCTGTTGCTGATGGTTCCTAGAAGAGCAGATAAAAATAATTCATAATCCTAATACCCAGAGATAACCACCTTAATAAATTTTGTCAAAATTTATATATTTTTCTTTAAAACTTGATCATGTTATGCATACAATTTTGGAACTTTTAAAAGCAGCAAATCTATCTCTCTATATGTATCTGTATATATGTGTCTATGTATACATATATATTCACTTATTTATTTATTCGTTCAGTCATCAAACAGTTGAGAATCTCCTATGTACAGATATTTGCTATAGAGCCATGAACAAAACAGCTTGCCTTATTGTGTGAGAAAAAGACACATTAAACAGCTAATTACAATCAACTGGTTAATTACTCTTGTTGTACCTGCTTTGAAGAAACATGGGGGGGCATATAATAGGCCACTTGAGTCTGGAGACTACAGATAGCTTTCATGTCAATAAATACAATTCTAAAACACCATAAAGAAGCTGCCCAGCAGTCCATTGGGTGGATGTACCATGTTCTTTTCAAGTAATTTCTTGTTGGGCGTTTGATTTCATAAAATTTATCTTCTAAGATCCCCTGCCAATAAAAACAGACAAAAATAACCCTTTTTTTGTGGGAGAAATAGCAACTATCCATGAGGAACATCAATATTTAGGGAAAGAGATGGAAAGAGGATCCAGTGAAGGAGTTAGAGAAGGAGCAACAAATGAAGCAGAAATAAACCAATGGAATAGAGTTCTAGAAACATGGACAAGGGAGTGTTTCTTTAGGCTTCACCAGTCCTGTCAGCACTGACCCTGTCCCAGGTAGTCGAGTAGGGAAAGGTAAAGAAAATTACTCTTCCTTCCCCAAATCTTGGAGTGAGATAAAGAATAAGCAAGCTGAAAGAGGAGCGTACCCACAAGTTACGTCCAGTTGGCTTGCATGATTTGGGGCTGCCGGAGTTCCCTTTCAAAAATTAAGGCTTTTAAATGTTTCTGTAGGAGTTTGTTGCTTTTTTCTTATTTCATAATTCGTTCATCACTTTGGGACTAGTACATCAGAATGCATACTAACAAATAATGTAATTTCTTGAAGATTATTCATATTGTTTTCAATTCTTGATGGTAAAAGCATGTAAGAAGAATTAAATTCTAATTGACTATCAATATTTCAACATTGTTTCAGTTAGCTCTTGATTTGTAACAAATCCCTCCAAATTCAGTGGTTTAAAACAACTCACAATATAGTTGCTCAGGATTCTGTGCATTGACAATTTTGGCTGGGCTTAGCTGGGGTGATGGTTCTGCTGGGAGCCAGGCTTAGCTGATAACTCCTGGGGTTCACTCACCTGTGGACACTGGACAGGTCAGCTGGGAGCTCACTTCAGCTGGGCTGCCTCATTCTCATCCATGGGGCCTCCCCTTTTAGAGCAAGTTAGCTTGGGTTCATTCAGATGGTGGTTTCAGGTTTCCAAGTGCAGCAAAAGAGCAAGCTCTAGTGTGCAAGTGATTTTCCAGCTTCTGTTTGCATTATGTTTGTAACTGTTCTGTTGGCCAAAGCAAGTTATATGACTAACCTAGATTCCAGGAGAAGGGAAATACGCTCCACCTACTGAATGGGAGAATCTGTAGTTTCTTACTGCCACGGTGTGGGTGCACAGTAGGGGAGAATTTGTGTGTCTGCCGTATACGTTAAACACATTTTCATAGGCTAGACAAATCTTGACTCCTTGCTCACCTTTTTACAGTATAAAATTTTGGGTCATGGTAGTATTACACTTGTATTACTGCATTGACTGACAGTGTCCTTGCTCAGTGCTTCTGGTTTTCCTGGGGTATGAACTGTCCTGCCAGTACTGCAACATGTGTACAACTAGAGGGTCCTAATTTGATGAAAACATATTTACGTGCCCTTTTTTTCTTCTCTTAAGATTACCGACACTCCTGATGACTGAATGTGTGCTGGTTTACATGACTCCAGAGCAGTCTGCAAACCTTCTCAAGTGGGCAGCCAACAATTTTGAGACTGCCATGTTCATAAACTACGAACAGGTAAAAGGAAGCACAAGAAATTTGTATTCTGCATAGAACTTCTGTGATGGCTTTCCCTCTCTGAGCATCCTCAGTATATGTTTCCACTTACTCCTCCGGCCTCCGGCCATTCACATAACTCCTGTATTAATTAATGGATTCCAGCAAGCCCAGTACCCCTGATTTCTTGACTTCCTGCAAACTTTCATCCAGTTTTTGGAACTTCTAACTGGGCCTTTATGAAAGTTTATTGAGTTCTTATTTTGCTGTTATATTTACTATGCAGTCATAGACCACGATGGAGGGAATTTTGGCTGTTATCAGTGTAGGGGTAGCAAACTCAAATGCCTTCAGAGGCAGGCAGGTGATGCAAATGGAGGAAGTTGGCCGGGTGTGGGATACTGTGGAGTGGTGCGGACTATGGTGAACTGGTGCACCCATGTCCCATTTCATGGGAGCAGCCACTAGTCACTTCCAACTAATTGATACCTTGTGGGCCTGTGAACCTAGAGTTGCCAGAACTCCCGATTTTTCAGGAGAAGTTGGAAATGTAGGATTTTAAGTAAAATTTCCTAATTTCTGAAATCACTGACTTTGGTCCACTGGCTACCTGTTTGCCTCTTCTGATCTGGTGAAGAAAGGGTTATATTTTGGAACGTTGGAGTTATCCAACTTGGGTCCAAATCCTGGCCCTAGTTCTTATTATTGGCTGTGTGACCTTAGGCAGGATTGCTTGGTGGTTGAGGGGTCCATGCCGTGGAGGTAGACTGCCTAGCTGTGTGACCTGGACAAGTTACATAACTTCCCTGTGCCTTTTTCCTCATCTGAAAAATGAGGATAATAATAGTTGCTACTTTATAGGTTTGTTATGAGGAGTAAATGAGTTAATATATGGAAAGCATTTACAGGGTTGCTCAGCTTTAAGTATTAGCTATTATTTGGATCTCTCTGAGCCCCAGTTCTTTGTTTTTAAAGGGATAAGAATGCCTCCCTCTCTAGCTATTACAGGAATTCATGAGATGTACAGCAGTGGGCACATGATAAGCTCTGAATACACTGTAGCTGTTTTTATTGTTTATTTTAGTTTTATTGATTTTTTTTTATCTCATTTTATTTTATTTTAAAATTTTATTACAGATAAGTGCAGTAAAGGGCCTTGCCCAGTGTCATGTAATTATGGACAGATCTAGGGTTGACCTTGGTCTCCTGATCTCCTTCCCAGCTCCCGCCCCAGTCCAGGTTCCTGTCTAGGTGGTTCTGGGTAGGTTGACTTTTCTTCCTTCCCTCTCTTTAACTGGGGACGTTCCTCAGACTCAGTCTTCAGTCCTTGGTTAATGGATATAAAGGTAGCTGACCTCATCGGTCTTTTTTTTAAGATTGGCACCTGAGCTAACAACTGTTGCCAATCTTCCATTTTTTTTTCCATTTCCTTCTTCTTCTCCCCAAAGCCCCCCAGTACATAGTTGTATATTCTAGTTCTAGGTCCTTCTGGTTATGCTATGTGGGATGCCGCCTCAGCATGGCTTGATGAGTGGTCCCATGTCCGCGCCCAGGATCTGAACTGGTGAAACCCTGGGCTGCCGAAGCGGAGCTCGCAAACTTAGCCACTCAACCACAGGGCTGGCCCCAGTCTTTTGTTTTTTGATGTGAATAAATCCTGGGAAGCTGTCTTCGCTTTCAGAATATCATTCCTGGGGAAAATGAATTCTGCTTTCCATGTTTCCTCACATTTCGGATGAGTACTGCTTCGTTCACCTTGCTTCATTTATGTATTCTTGTATTCAACAAACATTTATTCAGTACCATATGGAGATGGTGGATTAAGTGAATTTTGACCACAGACCCTGTCACTTTAGAGCAGGCCTGGGGTTATGCCAATATTCAGTATGTTGTCCACAGCTGTGCCTAAACTGGTTCAAATTCCACTCACCACCTTCACTTTGCAAATAATAAACATTTAACTTAAGTCAATAATTTTCTAATGAATACAAAATCATCAGCATCTTCACGTATATTAATTGCTTACATGCCTTACATTATTTCCTTAGTAGTAGTTTAAAGTGACACAGGGGGCTGGCCTGGTGGCGCAGAGGTTAGGTTCGCATGTTCTGCTTCAGTGGCCTTGGGTTTGCCAGTTTGGATCCTGGCTACAGACCTATGCACTGCTTATCAAGCCATGCTGTGGCAGGCATCCCACATATAAAGTAGAGGAAGGTGGGTACGGGTGTTCACTCAGGGCCAGTCTTCCTCAGCAAAAAGAGGAAGATTGGCAGCAGATGTTAGCTCAGGGATAATCTTCCTAAAAAAACAAAATTAAAGTGACAGAACCACATGGATGATAATTTCAATAATGATAATGATAGCAAATTCTTAAAATCTTATTGCTATATAGCAGGTGCTATTCTATGAATTTTAAATATATTAACTTATTTAATTACCACAGCAACCCACAAGGTGGGTATTAGTACTACCCTGGTTTTACAGGTAAGGGGACTGAAGCACAGAGGGGTTAGGCAGCTTGCCCACAGCCTCACGGCTATTACGTGTTAAGCCAGGATTCAAACCGAGGCAATAAAATGATGGAGTGTGTGCTGAGAAACACCCTTTTCTCCTGAATGAATAGTGTGCAATCTGATCATTAGTGCCACATAAGCCTTACTCATCAACCAAAAAAGAATAGCATTGGTTCTTGTCTTGTATCATTGTCCTGTGAACTCTGGGAATCATTTTACATATTATTAAAGTGAAGAATTTTTGATACCTTATATATGACAAAATAATAATGTGTATGCTACTCTAGTGTACTTAATATTGTTTTGTGACATTTGTGAACATATATAGATTAATTGTGGATTTTTAAACTAGTTTTTGTATTCAAAAAGTAATGCCACGTGCAGGAAAAAAAATCAAATAGTGTAAAAAGGTAGACAAGGAAAAGTAAGTCTCTCTCCTACACCAGACCTTGGCGTCTAACCTGGGAAGCAACATTGCCATATTCCAGAATTTTTCCATGCATATATAAATGGAGAGAGAGATTTTTTTCCCTAAAGGCAGATAGGAGCATACTATACACATTCCTCTGTACCTTACTTTTCAAGAGTTTATCTTAGAGATCTTTCCGTCTGTCTGTCTATTTATCTTCCTTTCCTGTTTTCATGGCTATCTAGTATTTCATTACAAGAACGTGCCAGAATTTGTTTTACGCCAAATGATGAGTAAATTCTTTGCAGATTCTTCTTACAATACGTAATGCTACAGTAAACATTCTTGCATCTTTGCATACACGTGTGAGTATATCTGTCGGACAGATTGCTGGCAGTAGAATTGTTGGATCACAGGCTGAATGTTTACAGTTCATGTGCACTGCCCAGTTGCCCTTCAAGGGACTGTGCCAGCTTATGCTCCCATTAGCACTGCTCACAGGGTTCTGTTACCTGCACTAGGTGTTATCAATCATCAGCCTTGACTGGTTAGAAATAGGATGTTTTTGTGTTATTTTGCATATTTAAGAAACAAAGAAACTCTTATGGCAATGCCTAGCCTCCTCTTTTCCTTTCCCAGGTGAACATGGATGATCGGTTTGGGCAGATCATGATTGAAAACCTGCGGAGACGACAGTGTGACCTGGCGGGAGTGGAAACCTGCAAGTCATTAGAGTCGCAGGTCAGAGAGCAGAGACTGCAACATCCTCTTGTACCATTAGCCAACCGAGAAATGGCATCCTCCCTTCACAGATAAGAGAATGTGAGAAGCCCTATTGAGTGCCTGCCTACACAGGCAGCTAGGGCTCCATGTGGGCCGCTGGTTCATCATGCTAGGAAAATCCAAGCCCTGTGCTGCCGTCTTGGTATGGAAAATGCAAATTTACATGTCTTACACCCTATTGTTTTAACTTTTTATTATGCAGTTTTTCAAATAACATAAAAGTAGAGGGAATAGTAAAATGAACATCCATGTCCCATTAGCCAGCTTCAATAATTAATAACATTTTGTCAGCATTGTTTTGTTTATCCCCCAAATTTTTTTGGTAGTGTTGTCTTTGGAATATTTTAAGGCAAATCACAGCTAGTATATCATTTGCCCCTTAAATACTTCACTGTGATTCTCCTACAAGTAAGGACTTTCTTCCCCCGAGGATAATGGTAACGCCATTATCATACCTTGGAAATCGACAATAACTACTTCATAGCAGCTAATACCTAGTTCATATTCAGTTTTTCCCAGTTGTTTAAAAAAAAATGTTTGTAGTTGGTGTGTTTAAATCAGGATCCAGACGTGGTCCACACTTTGTACTTGATTGATATGTCCCTTAAATCTCTTGGAATCTATAATAGCCCCCTGTTCCTTTTAAAAAAATGTCGTTTTTTTGCTGAAGAAACACCTCCCTCCCCACCCCCCATTGAAATAGGTTAGTTTTTACATCTTACATCACATTACCACTAGAGCACTTTGAAAAGCTGTTGCTCGTAGAAAAGTTTCTTGCTTTATTTCTCTTTACATGTACGTTAGTGAGTTTTCCCTCATTATAACAATTCATGTTCAATATAGAAAACTGGACAGTAAAAAGAAGAAAGATGTTAGGGGCCAGAACGGGCTTTTGAAAGAGGAGTCATCTAAAAGAAATTCTTGTGTGCTTGAAGAGCGTCCTGGATTTGTACAACAGTGCTTTGTAGTTCTTGTTTCTTTCCACTGCACATTTTAGAAAGAACGGCTCCTGTCAAATGGGTGGGAAACAGCATCGGCAGTCAACATGATGGAATTGTACAGCAGATTACCTCGAGCTGAAGTGAGCAGGTATGGGATTGGCCAGAGTTAGCTCCGTGATAATTAACTCAATTAAAGACATAATTTTCTGTATCCTTTAATGTAAAAAAAAAAAAAAACCCCAAAACCCTAACTAGACTTATTTTGAAACAGGTTAACCTGTTAATGTAGATTAAACGTTGATAGCACCTTGAGAGTACCTCATTAGCTGTTAGCTGAGATAGGGTTTATGCCAAAACAGATTATTTTAGTCAAAATAAGCAGTTACACCTGGGAAATTCCCAGAGCAACCTCTGCAGTGGAAATTTTGCATAATCCCTGTGTTGTGGAGTGGGAGGAAAATGACCTTGCCCAGGGGCTCCTAAGTGGGGGGAAGTCTGCTCGCAGATTTTTAAATGGACTTTTTCTCTCCTTCTAAAAGAAATACGTACCCATTGTTCTAAAACAATTTCCAAGCAATGTAAAGTACATGAAGTATGAAGTGGCAGTGCACTCTGGAGCTGCACCCTCCAGCGATAGCTGCTGTTAATAAGTTGGGGTGTATTCTTTTTCTATGTGTATGTGAAGATAAATATTGACTGAAATGTCTATTTCTGTTTTGAATCAGTGGATGCATGTTACACATGTTGGTCTGTAGACCACCTTCCCCTTTGTTAAACTGAACAATAGATTGTATTTATCTTTACATATCAAAATGTTGAGGGTTATCACATCTTGTTTGATGATGCAGAATATTTATATTGATATGTGGATATATTATAGTGATAGTAATAATTTTAAAGTAATTAAAAAGTAATGTTTATAGCTGAGCATTTAGTTGTGGCGTCTTATTTTTTATTTTGTTTTACTTTAGTTTTCCTGTTAGAAACAACTCTAGAGGGAACATCACCATATATGTCTCTGGACAGTGTTAGTGCCAGCTTAATTCTTTTTTTATAATTACTATTTACTTCCTGATTTGTATTTCCTTTTGCCTTTGGGGACCTTAGAGGTAGAGCTTTTGGTCTCTTGCAAGATGAGAAGAATTTTTGGTCTTGCTTTTCCACAGAGCTTCATATTAACTTTTAGAAGTATCACTATTTTTTCCAAGTATGTTTGTCAAAGCCTTGAAGGTTTGTGAAAGTGCTGTCTCCACATGATCAGATCAATGCTTCCTGGATTCTTCTAGAATTTTCCTTTCCCACAGGCTGATTTTCATTTGCCGCTTGTCAAGACAACTGTTTTGAATAGCCCTGGCCTGGCATCTGTAATGGAAACGCTGTAACAACTCCTCTAGATACCCAGGGAGGAGTCTGTAACTGGCACAGCCATGAGGGGAGCAGCTTGCTTCTGGGTAGTCATTTGTCTCATGTTAACATGGCGTTTTGTAGACAGCAACATGGATCCTTAACAGAGCCAGAGGCGGGATGGGCTTTCGTCTGTCTTCCCCATGCTGAGTAGTCTTCCCAACTCTGTGTGTGCCTCATAGTTTGTCTGCATTTACCAAGAGCTTTTGCTAGATACTGTGTGTAAGGAGAAGTCCAAGGCAGGCCTATTGATTCAACAAATGCCGAGTGCCTACTGTGTGCCATGCACCGTTCTGAGCACAAGAGTTACAACAATGATCAAAACAGGCCAAAAGACATGCTTGCCCTTATGGAGTTCACATTCTAGTGAGCAGCTTCACAATCTAGTGTCTCCTGAGAGTTACACTTGGTAGTAACCATCCTGGAGCTTTCGATGTGGAGCTTGTTTTTTCCACAACTTGGTATTAGGAAATCTACCTTGGATGCCTTCTGATTAGTTGGGAAGCAATCACAGTACTTTGTAGATAGGCATTCTCACTTCAGATGTGACCCTTAAGCGTACGTACCAAGACAGAAATGAATACACAGGTACAGAAACATGCATGTGTGTACACCCCGCCACACACACACACACACACACAAACACACAGCCTGGACAAATGGCAGTACTAGAACGTTAGCGATAGCTATTGTGAATAATGGGAATATCGGTTATTTTTTATTTTCTTCTTTATACTTTTTGGAAATCTTGAATTTTCCCCTACAATGTGCCCATATTTCCATATTTAAATTAAAAGAATTTTAAAGTTATTTCCGTATGTCCATATTTTTCTGTGTGTCTATATATTTAAAAGTTTACTTTTAAAATGCTTTTTTGAAAAAGTCATGTAAGCACATGATAAAAAAAAAATAAAAACCGTGGGGCTGGCCCTGTGGCCAAGTGGTTAAGTTCACGCGCTCTGCTGCGGTGGCCCAGGGTTTGGATCCTGGGCGCGGACATGGCACCACTCATCAGGCCACATTGAGGCGGTGTCCCATATGCCACAACTGTAAGGACCTGCAACTAAGATATACAACTATGTACTGGGGAGATTTGGGGAGATAAAGCAGGAAAAAAATAAAAGATTGGCCACAGTTGTTAGCTCAGGTGCCAATCTTAAAAAAAAAAAAAAAAACAACAGAATAAAGTAGTATAGAGTAAAAACAAAAACCAAAACACTCCTTCCCAGTCATCCTTACTACCTTCTCTCTCAAGAGACAACCACTATTACCAATTTCCTCTTTATTTTCCAAAAGTAATCTGAGCATATGCAAGCATATGTATCGCCCACTTTTTCTTTACGTAGACAGTAGTGTACTATGCACATTACTTACTAAACAACTTGCTTTTTAAATTCTGTAATATGTCTTAGAGGCTGTTCCGTGTCAATACGTATAGACCTACGCTGTTCTTTTATATGGCTGCACAGTATCCTCTTGTATGAATGTGTTGTAATTTATTCAAACATCTCTTCTAGTTTACGGTTTTTTGCTGTTACTACATTATGGCTATGATGCTGCAGCGAATATTCTTGAACATACATCCTTGTACACATACAGGGTAAATTCTTAAAGCAGAATTGCTGAATGAAAGGATGTACATTTTAAACATTGATAGAGATGATCACATTACCCTCCAGAGAGTTTGTACTGTTTTGTGATCCTACTAGCAATGCAGGAGAGCACCTTTTTCCCATGTCTTTGCTAAAATGTATATCAGCCTTTTTGATCTTTGTCAATCTGTTAGCTGAAAATGCATCTTGTATTTTACTTTATTTTTTCTTGTATTGTAATTTACATTTCTTTTCTCATAAATAGCACTGAAAACCTCTTGTTCTTCCTTTCTGGTGAACTGTTCTTTTATCCATATTTTTTTTTTTTTTTAATTTTTTTTTTTAAGATTTTTATTTTTTCCTTTTTCTCCCCAAAGACCCCCGGTACATAGTTGTGTATTCTTCGTTGTGGGTTCTTCTAGTTGTGGCATGTGGGACGCTGCCTCAGCGTGGTCTGATGAGCAGTGCCATGTCCACGCCCAGGATTCGAACCAACGAAACACTGGGCCGCCTGCAGTGGAGCGCGCGAACTTAACCACTCGGCCACGGGGCCAGCCCCAACTTTTATCCATATTTTAAATGAGTTTTTAAAGTTTTTCTTACTGAAGTATGACACCTCTTAATATAGCAAAGAAATTACCCTTTGTTATTTGTATTGCAAAGATTTTTTTCTAGGTTGTCATGTGTCTTTTGACTTCTGTGATGATATTTTTTATTTTTTTCAATAAAAATAAGTTAAAATGGAACCACACCATGCATACTATTTTGTAGCCTGCTTCTTCTCACTTAGTATATCATGAACATCTTTCCATATCCATAACTACAGGTCATCATGTTTATTTTTAATCGTATAAATTTATATTGTTCTATTTTTATTCTCCACAGAATAGAGTCACTTGAATTCCTGGACGAAATGGAGCTTCTTGAGCAGCTCATGCAGCATTACTGCCTTTGTTGGGCAACCAGAGGAGGAAGTGAACTAGGTACATGACTTTACTTTTGTTGATTTGACCTAGAAGTGGGGAAGTTTTCATCTCCTAAGAATGTAAGACATAAGTGGAGCTTTCAGCCTAGAAGGATCTAGAGGATCTTACGCATCTATCCATGAGCATATCCAGAGAATTAGCTGTTATATCGTCTGTGTTTTATAGCATGAGAATCAGGGGAACTGTTTAAATAAAGCAAATGTATCAAAATAAACAAACCAACCAACTACCCACCCAGTACAGGTCTGCTGGGGAATTTCCTCAGCTGGTAGGGAAAAGACCTTGAGAGTGTAAAGTGATAATCTCAATAAAAGTAACCAATGTTTGTCTTTTTAATCAACATTTAACCAGGTTTACTCGATGTTAAAAACACTTCATTATCTCTCTAACAAACTCATGCAGCTGTGGGTTGAATAGCTCCCTCTCATCCCTTATGATTAAGCAGAAGTTCCCTGGCCTGGCAGAGTGGGGCCGTGGAGAGAGAGCGTGAATCCCTGTCTCAGTGTTTCTTGTTACTTGGTCTTGATCCAGTTCCTCCTTTACAACCGCCCCATGTTGATCTTGCTTCCCCAGGGCTTATCTCTTGGGGTCTTGCCAGCCCTGTGGAGACCATTTCAGATTCCAGTTTTGGCCTTTAATGTAGTAGTTGCCCTTCAAGCTTCGTACAGATGTGTCCAAATGACATACAGCTTTAGGCGGGTAGCTAATACAAAACAAAGAACTTATCAGAGGCGAGGACTGTCTCCTATATGAAAATTCCAGGTTGGCCCAAGGCTATTAATCATCCCCCTTGGGCTTATCATTCCACTAGTTTATAAATTACCCAGCTGTGCAGTTCAGCCCACAAAGTCCTTTTAAACTTGTTTTTTATTTAAAAATCCTGTATTAGTATGTTTTTATTTTGTTATCCTCCCCTCAATTTGAAAAACAATATAATTTTTAGTAGAGACTTTGGAAACTTCTAAAAAAAGTATGATGAAGAAAAGAAATTCACCTGTAAGCCTGTCACTCAGTGATAACCTCTAATAACTTTTTCCTTCCACTCTTTTTAGCTATTGTTTCATTTTTAGCAGAGTCGAACTTACATATTTGTAACTTTGATTCCCGATCTTTTCAACTTAATACTATAAGTACTTCCCCTTACTATTAAAAACTCTCATTGAGCATAATTTTAATGGCTTTATAAAAATTCTTTCACGAGGCTATGTCCAAATTTACTTAAAGTTTCTCACACTTTTGAAAATGTAGGTTGTTTGTAATACTATTGAGTTAATTCTGGGTTTTATAAAATAAAAGTATATAGAATATTTTTATGTAGGGGGCTTCTTTTGTCCCCACTTTCCTCTGGCTGCTTTGTGATATCAGTACTTGCATGTGTGGTGAAGAACTGTCTGCAGTTGCTCCAAGTTCAGCATTTAAAGGATCGACTTTTAGCATTAACTGCAAAGAGCCCACAAACTGTACAATGCTTTCTTAATCCCTTTAAAATTACCCATAAACAGAGTCTTGTCCAACCTCTGGTTTCTGTCTGAAGTCTCATCTTACAAAACAGAAGACCAGAGCTGCAGTGACCAGATGTGTGGCCTGTGCCCCCGAGCTGGTCACTAGCGTCCAGGAGGGTTGTATTCTCCCACCTCTGACTATTTTCTCTGCTCTACGCTGTGAGCGTTTCTTAGCAGCATTTGTGTGTTTCCTCCCCTCAGGTTTGAAGGAGATCACTTGTTAATCTGTTCAAGGCTCATGCTGAGCCAGAAGCTGAAGCCACTGATGCTCCCAGAGTGGATATGCCACGTTTCCTAAGTGATGGCGAGGCGTCGCCTGCCAGCCCCACCCCGCACTTGGAGAGCCCTCTGTTATTAGGGTTGTCACACCAGTTCTTGTTCCTGTTGACTTGTCCTTTAAATAAATCTCAGTTGTCAGTTGCCTATGTGTTGGTCCTCTGCCGCTTGTCTGCTGCTCATTCTCGCTCCGCCTGGGAGGGCTCTGGTTCACCTCTGTACTAGTTGAAACCAAAGATCCTGAATCCTGCTTTGACCCTGGCTTATCTGTGAGTCAGACTCAGCTCATGCCTTTGTGTCCCTTTTGGGATTTACTTCCACGTGCTCTTGTTTGTAGCACCTGACCTTGCACCTAGCACCCTGACGCTTAGCCTTCACCAGATGCTGGAGCTCTTCTGTGTTCGCGTTTCTGCCCTTGCCAGAATAGCCTGCTGAAATCCTCATTCATCTCAGTTACTGTGGCAGGCTGAATGGTGGCCACTAAAATGTTCACTCCTGATACCCTGAACCTGTGAATATGTTACCTTATATGGCCAAAGGGGCTTTGCATGTGTGATTCAATTAAGGTTCTTGAGGTGGGGAGATTATCTGGGAGTATCTGGGTGGGCCCGATATAATCACAAGGGTCCTTATAAGGGGAGGCAGGAGGGTCAGAGTCAGGGGAAGGAGGTATGATGCTGGAAGCAGAGATTGGAGTGATGTGCTTTGAAGATGGAGAAAGGAGAGAAAGCCAAGGAATCTGGGCGGCCCCTAGATGCTGAAAAGGGCAAAAAGACAGATTCTCAGAGCCTCCAGAAGGAACCAGCTTTGCCAACACCTTGACTTGAGCCCAGTGAAACTGATTTCAGGTTTTTGACCTCTAGGACTATAAGAGAATAAATTTGTGTTGTTTTAAGCCATTAAGTTTGTGGTAATTTGTTACAGCAGCCATAGGAAACTCATACAGTTGTGATACAGATGAATAGCGCCCCCAGAGTGCTTACCCCGCAGTTCGGAAACATAAGGCATAACCACACCTGCGGACCTTTTTGGCTATGCGGCTGGGGTTCTGAACCTGAACCTGAACCTGCATATGCAGAATGGCCATGAGAAACCCGCAATCCCGGCCCTCTCCTCTCCTTGAGAGATAACAGCCCCTTCTTCGACCGCATGGACTCTCTCTGTCAGTGTTCTCTAGAGTGTGGGCTGTGTACCACCACACAACAGCATGCCTCTTGATGGGAGCAGACGCACTGATACGGTGGGAAATGACACTGAGTTGCTCAGTGAGAAACTTAACTTCCATTTTAGTTATCTTTCAAGTCTTCTTAAGAAGTTCAAGGAGAAGACCTCAGGCTGGTTCTGGTGTGTCTTTAACACTTCTGTAATGTTCACTAATCCAATGTTTTTGAAATCCTGGGACCAAGTCATTAATGAATGGTGAATCCATTTAGTGGATCAAGTCCATTATTTTAAAAAGATATAAAATAGAATAGACAAGGACATATTACAGCACTTTACCAGTGGTGTGTAAGGGTGAATGAAGATTGTTTTTTGAAACTTGTTTCATTTTTACATGTGTATACATGCACTGCGTTAGCATGGTTTTGGTTTTGATTTCGATCACAAGTTAAGTTCAGAGTGTTATAGCTCTTCACTAACTGAGGCAGCAACAGTATCTGGCTGAAATTAAAAAAAACCTTTGGTTCAATTATATTTCTGTTTCTCTTTGTATTTATTTTTATGAATTACTTTCTGTTCAAGGCAAATGATATTGCATTACTATTGATGGTTGTGTTATAAAATATCCCTTAAAGTACCTATCAATTTCATTTTAAAACTGAGTCCATTTGGGGGCCAACCCGGTGCGCAGTGGTTAAGGTCACATGTTCCGCTTTGGCAGCCTAGGCTTGCTGTTTCTGATCCTGAGTGTGGACCTATGCATGGCTTATGAAATAGAGGAGGGCGGGCACAGATGTTAGCTCATGGCCAATCTTCCTCAGCAAAAAGGATTGGCGGCGGATGTTAGCGCAGGGCTAATCTTCCTAAAGACAAAAAAAGTGAGTCCATTTAAAGAGAGTTACTAAGAAAATAATAGTAGAAGCACTACAAGAATGTTGCAGGAATCATGGAGGTGATATATTTGGAAACGCTGAAGTTGAGAAGCACCACATGAGGGAATGGTTGACCCATCATTTTACAGTTTCTCACCAAGGGTTGGCTTTTACGCCCTCTCTCAACCATACATCCTGTAACTGAGACATGCATGCTGAAGTGTGTTTTTAGCTTTTTTGAATTAGAACTTGAAATTCATTTTCCCCGTGAGTTATTGCCACTCACTGTCTCTTTTCTTCCACCTGTTCACCTCAAACCCTTTGTAATGTCTACACACACTAGTTAACTGAACCCACTCTTTGGAAGGACGTCAGTGACATTGATACCATCACATCCAGTGACCCTCACTCAGTCCTTGGCTGTCCCAAGTTCTTGGCAACATCTGACATGGGCCACCATCTCCTTGAAATGCTTTTGCTGCCTCTCCCTACGCCTCCTGGACAACCCTCCTTCTACCCTTTTCCTGCTTCCCATATCCAGCGATTCCGCTTTTTCCCATAACCCGAGGAATTGGTCTTCATGGATCACCATTGGCTTTTCTCTTTCTTTTAAAAATTTTTTTCCTGGGGTCGACTCCATGGCCGAGTGGTTAAGTTGACGCGCTCCGCTTCAGCAGCCTGGCGTTTCGCTGGTTCGGATCCTGGGCACAGACATGGCTCCACTCATCAGGCCGTGCTGAGGCAGTGTCCCACATAGCACAACCAGAGACACTCACAACTAGAATATTCAACTGTGTACTGGGGGACTTTTGGGAGAAGAAGAAGAAGAAAAGAAAAGGATTGGTAACAGATGTTAGCTCAGGTGCCAATCTTTGAAAAAATTTTTTTTTCCTTTTATTGTGGTAAACTATAAATAACAAAATTTGCCATTTTAACCATTTTTAAGTGTACATCTCAGTGGCATTAAGTACATTCACATTGTTGTGCAACTATCTCTACCATCCATCCTCAGAACTTTTTCATCATCCTAAATTGAAATTCTGTACCAATTGAACACTAACTTCCCATTCCTACCCTCCGCCCCTGGTAACCACTACTCTACTTTCTGATTCCATGCATTCTCTTAGGTAACTTATATCGATGGAATCATACTATATTTGTTTTCTGTCTCTGGCTTATTGTATTTAACATAATGTCTTCAAGTTTCATCCATGTAGCCTATATCAGAATTTCATTTGTTTCCTGAGGCTGAATAATATTTCATTGTATGTATATACCATGTTTTGGTTATCCATCCATCAGTGGACATTTGAGTGTTTCCAGCCTTTGGGTACTGTGAATAATGTTGCTAAGAGCATTGGTGTACAAATGTTGGAGTTTCTGCTCTCAACTCTTTTCAGTATATGCCCAAAAGTGGAATTGCTGGATCATATGGTAATTCTATTTTTATTTCTTTGAGGATCTTCTATACTGCTTTCCGTAGTGGCTGCACCATTTTATATTCCCATCAGTAATGTACAGGGATTCCAATTTCTCTGCATCCTCACAACACGTGTTATTTTCTGGGTGTTTTGTTTTTCTTTTTGTTTGATAGTAGGCATCCTAATGGGTGTGAAGTGTTATTTCGTTGTCATTTTGTTTTGCGTTTCTCTGTTGATTGGTGATGTTGGCCATCTTTTCATAGGCTTGTTGGTCATCTGTATATTTGTAGTTTTAGGTCTTACATTTAGGTCATGGATCCATTTTGAGTTAATTTTTGTATATGATATAAAGTAAGGCTCCAACTTCATTCTTTTGCATGTGGATATCCAGTATTCCCAACACCATTTGTTGAAGAAATGTCCCCACTGAATGGTCTTGGCATTCTTCTCAAAAATTACTTGACTGTATATGCAAGGGTTTATTTCTGGGCTCTCTATTCTATTCTACTGGTCTATTTGTCTTTATGTCAGTACTACACTGTTTTGATTACTGTAGCTGTGTAGTAAGTTTCTAAATCAGGAAGCATGAGTCCTCCAACTTTGTTCTTCTTTTTCAAGATTGTTTTGGCGATTTGGGGTTCTTTGACGTTCTCTATGAATTTTAGGATGGGTTTTTCTATTTCTGCAAAAAACGTTGTTGGGATTTTGGTAGGTATTACGTTGAATCTGTAGATTGCTTTGGGTGGTAATGACATCTTGACAATACTAAGCCTTCCAATCCGTCAATATGGGATGTCTTTCCATTTATTTATTAAAACCTTCTTTAATTTCTTTCAATGAAAGTTTGTAGTTTTCAGTGTACTTTAGCCTCCTTGGTTAAGTTTATTCCTAAGTATTTTGTTCTTTTTGATTCTGTTCTATTGTAAGTGGAATTTTTAAAAATCCCTTTTAGGATTATTCGTTTTTAGTGTATAGAAATGCAACTAATTTGTGTGTGTGTATTTTGTGCACTCTTGGTGAATTTGTTTATTCTAATAGTTTTTTCGTGCAATATCCTATATATAAGATCATGTAATTTGGAACAGAGATAATTTTCCTTCCCTTCCAGATTGGATGCCTTTTCTTTCTTTTTCTTGCCTAATTGCCCTGGTGGACCTTCCAGTACAATATTGAATAGAAGCAGCAAAAGAGGGAATTTTCTTTTCCTGATCTTAGAGAAAAAGCTTTGTCTTTCACGGTTGAGTATGATGTTGGCTGTGGGTTTTTCATAGATGGTCTTTATTATATTGAGGTAGTTTTTTTCTATTACTATTTTGTGAAGTGTTTTTTTCACGAAAAGTTATGAATTTTGTCCAATACTTTTCCTGCGTCACTTGAGATGATGTGCGTTTTCCCTTCGTTTTGTTAATGTGGTATATTACATTTATTGATTTTTGTATGTTGAACCATTTTTGCATTCCAGGAATAACCCCACTTGGTCATGGTATATAGTCCTTTCAATATGCTGCTGAATTTGGTTTGCTAGTATTTTGTTGAGGACTTTTGCATCAATGTTCATAAAGGATATTGGTCTATGGTTTTCTTGTAGTGTCGCTGTCTGGCTTTGGTGTGAGGGAAAGGCTGACCTCATAGAATGAGTTAGGAAGTTTTCCCTCCTCTTCAGTTTTTTGGAAGAGGTTAAGAAGAATTGGTGTTCTTTAAATGTTTGGTAGAATTCACCACTGAAGCCATCTGTTCTGGACTTTTCTTTGTTGGGAGGTTTTTAATGACTGATTCAATCTTCTTGCCAGTTACAGGTCTTTTCAGGTTTTCTGTTTCTTCATAATTCAATCTTAGTAGTTTGTGTGTTTCTAGGAATTTGTCCATTTCGTCTGGGTTATCCAATTTGTTGGTGTACAGTTGTCCATAGTACTCTCTTATAATCCTTTTTATTTATGTAAAATCAGTAGTAATGTCCCCACTTTAATTTCTAATTTCAGTAATTTGAGTCTTCTCTGTTTTTTTGTTTGTGTAGCTAAAGGCTTGTCATCTGGTTTGATCTTTTTGAAGAATGAGCTTTTGATTTTGTTTTCTCTATTGTTTGTCTTTCTCTATTTCATTTGTTTCTGCTCTAATCCTTATTTCCTTCCTTTCACTAGCTTTTGGTTTGTTCTTTTTCTAGTTCCTTAAGATGTAAATTTACCTTGTTGATTTCAGGTCTATCTCCTTTTTTAGTGTGTGTTTACAGCTATAAATTTCCCTCTTAGCACGTATTTCACAGCATCACGTAAGTTTTGGTATGTTCTCCTTTCATTTTCATTTTATCAAGGTAATACCTAATTTCTCTTTTGATTTCTTCTGTGGCCCATTGGTTAAGAGTGTGCTGTTTAATTTCCACATATTTCTGAATTTACCAGTTTTCCTTCTGCCGTTGATTTCTAGTTTATTCCATTTTGTTAGGAAAAAATCCTTTGTATGATTTCAATCTGTTAAAGTTTTTGACCTAATTTTGTGGCCTAACATATAGTCTGTCCTGAAGAATGTTCTGTGTGTGCTTGAGAGAGATATATATTCTGCTGTTATTGGTTGGAATGTTCTGTATACGTCTGTCACGTCCAGTTTGTTCACAGTGTTATTCAAGTCCTCTGTCTCCTTGTTGATCTTCTGTCTGGTTGTTCTCACCATAACCTTTTGACTCTCAGAGTTTGTCTCAAACTCTCTTTCCCAGGCTGCTTGCCCAGGTCCCTGTCCTACACCTCCTCTTAGATGATTCACTGGCTCCTCAAACTCAACATGTCTAAAAAATACATCTCTTCCCCCTCCTAAATATCTCTACCTTATGGCTCTGCTTTCTTTGCTGGTGGACCCCCACTCCACTCAGAGTCCTGAGAGTCACTCACTCCCTGCTTTTTCTTGTTCTCCTCATCAACTGGGTGGCCATGGTCTGTTGATAGACATCTCTCCTGTCCTACTGCCAGCCTGACTCAGTCATCCGTTGTCTCCCACCTAGTCTTTTTGGGCTTCATTCTTAACTTCCTGCATTCCTATATACCACCACCAGCCTATCCTTCTCAGTCCTGCATTTACAGTCTTATTCTCCAGCTGACTCACAGTGGGCCTTGTCTAACGCTAGTCTCTCTCCTTGGACTGTGCTTTCCCTGGATTTCATCCCTGCAGCTCTGCCCACCTTCAGTCCATCCCAAATGCTGATTTCCTTTTCCCTTTCTCCCTTTCATCCTTCTTTTATTATTATATTGAATACAAGTTGAGCAAGACAGACATGGTATATGCCCTTAAGGAGCTTCCATTCTTCTGGAGAGGATGGACAGTTAAATATGCCTTGCCATAAAGCCGGCAAACATGTGGGAAAGCCATGGCCTCACCTGACCAAAGCAGCTTAGTCATTCTCGGCTGGTGGGAAAGCTTTCCTGAGGCTATCTCATACAAGGAGATGAGGAAAGAGTACCCGCAGATGAGGGATTAGCATATGCAAAGAGCATGCTTGTATGCCATCCATGATCCCTAACTGGTTGTATATTTGTGTTTCTAATTGCTTTACTTATATTAACGCATTCTGTCCTTATAACAACACTATGTCATGTTCTGTTTCTGTCTTTATTTTAAAGATGAAGAAATAAGGGCGCATGGATATTTTGCAATTTGTCCAAAGTCATATAGCCAATAAATGATGGAACTGAGTTTGAAACTAGGCAGGTTGGCTCTAGAACTTGTGCTTTTGACTGCTACATTATATATATATATATCCCCTCTCCTCTTGCCCCAAGCAGCACATAAAAATCCCCCATCCCCACTAGTGCTTGTGGATGTGGTTGCCCTGCCGTCTCATTTCCTTATTTCTGATAAGTTTCCACATTTATCAGATTGGCTTATTTCCCATTTTTGGGCTGCCCTAGATGCTGCTGATGCTGAGTGATCCTTTTTTCCAAAAATCTTACAGTTCTTAGGGAGGATTTTGAATATTTAGCAGCAGAAATGGCTGTAAAAAAAAAAAACCCCAAAACACCAGCGGGTATCTAGAATGCTTTCAGTCTCAGTGATAGAGTATTGATTGAAGAATATCATCAAGGACCTGGGTTTGCTCTATGTGCTCTGTCTTCCTCAGCATGTGGCCTTTTAATCTTTTGCTGTTGCCTTATGATCATAAAGTAGCTGCTAGAGTGCCAGGCATCACAACTGCATTCATGGTAGGAAAAAAGATGGGTCTTACCTTTTTATCCAGAATAAAATTTTTCCCACGTGTGCTCCAGTATATTTTCCCCTATATCTCATAGTAAGAACTAGGTAGGAGTGCCAGATAAGATACTGGATACCTAGTTAAATTTTAATTTGAGGTAAACAACACAAAATTTTTTTAGTGTAATTATGTTTCATGGAATATTTGGGACATACTTATACTAAAGTCATGTGTTGCTTACCTGGAATTCAAATTTAACTGGGTGTCCCCCATTTTTATTTGCTAAATCTGGGAACCCTAGAACTGCATCTACTTGCAAGGGGGGCTGGGAAGTAGAATATCTGGCTTTCTGCCTTTTGCTAATGCAAGATGGGCAAGAGAGAAAAATTGGAAAGCTTTTAGATCATTAGCTCCCCAAGGTGGAGTCATTTTGATTGTGTTTGCTCTACTTCAGAGAATATGTTTGTATGATGTCAGAAAATTTATGAAGTTCAAAGCAGAGTCCAACTATATTTTTATCTTAGAGTTTTTTACTTTTTTGTAGGGAAGGCATGGATGGTCAGGAATAAAATATCTGTTATGGACAGGATATATGTTCTTATTTTGGTTTACTTTTTCGTATCCCTCCTTGTTCCACAGAAGGAATTGAGGTGGCTACAACAACACAAAAGGCAAACATAACTGCTTAGGGGAGCTTGAACATGAGTTAAACAAAAACAAAAGGCCCACAGTTGTGCATATCTTATTGCCTCACACAGGTACTGGAAGTGGGCTACAAATTTGACTCTCTCCCAGTCCTCTCAAGGATTGAAACATGATTTAGTTTCCGTAAAATTGCAAGCCAGCCTCGTTCTCAAGAAAGGCACAACTCTTCCTACCCAGAGGCCCGAGGAGCTTTTCCTGAGCATCCTCAGTGAGATCCCTGCAAGTGCTGTGGGCCTGGATTTGTCAGCTGCTGCTCCAGGGTTCCGTGATGCAAGCTGATGATTAATACTGAAGTGAAATTCTGTGGGGCCGACACAACGCAGTCCAATCATATAGCTCTGGGACGCTGGATTTAAGGCAAGAGTAGAATTTAGAAAATCTGGAAAACATAGGACTGCAGAACTGATATGCCTAAATAATGTCCTGAAAGCTGGACGTTTTATACAAGATTCCATGACAGGGAACTTAAGGTCAGATCCTTCGGCAAAGACCTGGACGTCAAATTGCCCCAGTGGTTGAGGTTCAAGTGCTTTAAGAGCCAGCCAGGTGGAGGGGCTGAGGTCTTCACAGGAAAACGCAAGAGTCCATTGTACAAAAGGCAGAGCTTCGTTCTGAGGTAGCTGCAACAAATGTAAAATGGAGCATTCCACACCCCTCCTTAAAATCCCCAAGGACCCTTCTTCCCCTTGGTATGAAATCCAAGTCCTTCTCATGGTCTACAAGACCCAAGACCCTGCGTGGTCTGGTCCCTCCTCACCTCTCCTACCTCATCTTGTGCCTCTCTCCTCTTCCCATGACACTCCTCTAGCCCTGCCTTCTTTCTTTTCCTTAACCTACCAAACTCTGCCTCTGCTGGCCTTTGCGCTTGCTGTTCCCTTTTCTGACTCAACTTTACCCCTTAAAGCTTTAAGCATCACCTCCCCAGAAGGACTTTTCCCCATCACCTTGTGTAAACTTTCCTGGTGGTTGTAACTTGGCATCCTGTTTGTTGCTTTTGTGGTCCTTGCCTGAACTTGTCATCATTTTTATCCATTCCACAAGTATTTTTCAAGCACTGAGAGACAGTGAAGCAAACAAACAAATAAACCAAAATAATTACAGTGCTAATTAAGTGCTCTGATGACTCAAGGTAGTCATAGTGTGGAAGATGGTGTAATCCTACCTGTACCAAGACATTTGATTTATAGCTACTCTAGGAAAACATCCTTGGGATTCGGATGTGGGGGACTCATGCTATCATGACACATGTTGGGCTCTTGCTTAAATTTTGTCAGCTTGAGGATCAGCACGAGAGAGGGAAAAAGATGCCTCCAGTACCAACAACTCTTGAAATAATGCAGGCACTGTTTAAGTGAGGCATCTCTCAAGGCCGGATCACCGATACCTGTTGGACCCCTGGAGGGTAAGACAGATGTCAGGGAATAAGATCCAAGATCTTGCTGAGCTCAGTGCTGGGAAAATCATCTTGCTCTGTCTTGAGATAGAATTTGCTAAACTCTGTGATTAAGTGAGTAATAAAGAGACCTGGGAGAGTTCTGGGAACTCAGGTAAGGCACATTGTTCTGGTTTTACCCATTGTTCTGGTTGTTTCCAAGTTGTGGATGAGTTTTAGTGCTGGTTGTCTGAAGACTGAGGGGGCATTGTGGCTTCCAGAGGGCAGAGGGGAGAGAATTCAGAGACATAAGGAGACGGGCCCCCTTAAGGAAGAGGTAGGGGTGGGCCTTGAGGAGTAGGAATCAGGGATGGGCCTTAGGAATACCCTGGTGAAATCATGCTAAAAGGAACATTACAGGAAACCATGTATAGGAAAAGGGCAGCTTTCTCCTTGGTGCTGGTGATGAAGTGTGGTAGGTTGCAAAGAATGGCTATGAAGTCTTCTAGAGTCTCTCTCCACTCTTTGAATTGAGAGTGGTCATATGATTTGCTTTGACCAATGGGACAATAAGAAACAAGACCTGAGCAGCAACCTGACAGGTGCTTGTGCCCTGGATTCACCTTCTCCTGCTGCTCTCAGAAACCATGTGGCGACCATGATGTGAGTAAGCCTGGCCTCGTCTGTTGGATGAGAAGACCACGTGGAGCAGAGGTGGGCTGTCCCAGATGAGATGAGGCAAGAGATGAGGCCCTCCCTAGACCCAGACCCCAGCCAACTCAGCAGCTGACCGCAGATGTACAAGTGAGCCCAGATGAGATCAGCCAAGCCAGCCCAGACTAGAAGAACTGCTCAGCCAACTCGCAGAATCATGAGCTCACTGAATGGTTGCTTTAAGCTACTATGTTTGGGGATGGTTTATTACCCCTCTGTAGCTAACCAATACTGTTACCAGCTCTTAGATAAATATCAACCCTGATACTGGTTCCCCTACAGTGAACCCAGCATATATGGGTTAAAACTAAAAGTGCTCATTTCCAGTTCCCTGGTTCTTTAGTTACCCTCATATACTCCTTATACTGCTTAACTCCTTATATTCCTTAAACTCCTCAAACTCTGACTCCCTGAGCTTTACAACCAAATAGAAGTTACAAGTTGTTAAAGTCCAGATGGCTTCATGCTGAGTTCCCACTAAAGTTGTGGCTAATCACAGGACCTTGAAGTTCTTTTACAGAGAAACTAATGTCCAGAGACTATCAAGAGACCAAAGCTTCCCAGACCCAACTCCACGACTTCCTGACGTCAGTCTACCTTCCATCATGGAGACAAACAGCCAAGGACACTTGTCTGAGAAATCCTTTGTCTCCTCCACTATAAGCAGCCGCAAACACAGGCTGATGGGAAAATGCTGACCAAGAAGGCCACAGCCCCCCTCCCCTACCTAAAGCCCCACATAAAAACCTCTACCCATTTCTTAACGGGGAGCTTGCAATTTTTGAGGTACTAGCCCTTGCTTTGCTCCCTCTGCCTGGCAAAGTAAAGCCTTTCCTTTTCCACCCAAGACTCTGTTCTCATTATTTGGATTGGCATTGGGATCAGAGACCAAACTTTGGGTAACAATGCAGGTTCCGGGTGTGGGTTGGGAGGAAGAAGGCAATTATTGGGTGATTGGTTCCTTCATTAATGCTTTGTGCCAAGCTGTGTGCTAGGAATAAAGATTTAACAGTGGACATGGCAGACATGGTCTCTGAGCTCACAGAGCACCATCTAGCAGTGGCCCCAGATAGAGAGCCTGGCTATTTCAGTGTCTTGTGGCAAGTCCAGAAGGGTGCTATAGGAGGTGCTGGGAAAGAGAGAGGTGAGTATGCTGAGACCTGAGGATGTTCCAGGTGAGTGGGACCCGGAGGGGGGGTGGTGAAAGAGGGAAGGAAGTTTCTGACTGTAATACAGTATGGAATGATTGAGAAGCGGAGATGAGTCCCACTTGGCTGGAGCAATGTGCTTCCGAGGGGCACAGATTTCCTCTTGGGAGTCACAAAGTCTTCCCAGGAGTTTTACAAGGATACTTTTTCAATTTTTTTATTGAGGTCTTATTGGTTTATAACGTGTAACTTCAGGTTACATATACATGATATACATTATTCTATATCAGTTTCTGTATAGACTGCATCTTGCTCACACCCAATAGTCTAGTTTTTATCTGTCACCATACACCTGTGCCCCTTTACCCCTTTCACCCTTCCTCCACCCCCTTCCTCCCTGGTAACCACTAATCTGTTCTCCTTATCCACGTCTCACAAGGATGCTTTTAAGGGATCCCTTCCCAGCGGAGGTGGTGTTTCCCCCAAGGGTTCAAAAATTGGGTCTTGGGGGGTGGTTTGTAGCCCTCCAAAGGGCAGCACTACATAAACAGATAGACCATATATCTATGGTATTAAAACTTAATAGAGGGGGTGATTAGGAAGGAAAAAGTCTGAAAGTCTTCATGGTGGGGAGATAATGAAAAAGAAACTGTTTGAAGGGCATCCATTTCCAGATCCTCACCTCGTGTGATCCACTCCCTTTCCCCATTGCCCTTCTCCCACTTCACAGAACATAATTCTCGCTCATCCCAAATCTTCACTGGTGTTTTGCCCTGGGAATTAAAATCTGGGTTGGGATACAATTAGAAATACTGAGGTGGGCATTGAGAAAGTGAATAATAATAATGACCAAGGATCAAATTCTTTTTTAGGTTTGAGAAGAAGTCTTTGCTTTCAACAAAATTGAAGGGGAATATGATAGCGTTGTCAGCTTGATTAAAATTTTTTTAGAAGAATAGACACTATGTTATTTTTGGCATATAACTCTAAAGGTGTTCAAAGAAGTGTGTAGCATTGCTATAGAAAACCGCTTACAATCCTCCTCTATTTATTTTTGTGAAAGGTCTCTCCATGCCTATATCTACAAAAAGGAAAAATGGAAATTGAATTGAGACTGAACACTGTCTCCTAGAAATAAGCTATAGTCATCTTGGGATATATAAAGTCATTGAATAAATAAGTAAAACCTGCTCTACCCATCTCATTAAAAGATACATTTCCAATAAAATTTTCTTTTATGTTTAATAACTATCAACATTTGTAGTATAGTTGGGTTATATTGATCAATTGTCTATTAATAATAATTGTAATGATAATTCAATCCAGAAGGGAATAAAATGAGCATTTAGACCCAACAGTCACATAAAATGTATTAAAGTATTAATTTCTCTCTCTGTATATATACGTATAAAAAATATATATGCTATGTGCTGTGTATAATATAGATATGATTTTGTTTGGGAGGGTATGATAGGGTGATCAATAAAAACCTTTTGAGCTTAAAAAAATCTAGGGTAGGAGGTTAACTAGAATGAAAATACAAGTTCATGGAGTAACAGGAGCCACGTAAAATTTCCAACTTCTGGAGATGAGCTTGTTTGTGTATTTTTAAAACAGATATTGGGTAGATAAAAAAAGTCATGATGGTATTTGCATTCCACTGTATACCTTTAAAAGAATTACATGATGGTTTTAACTTAAAACTACAACATTTATAATATACTGGAAATTACGTTCTTTGCAATTATAACACACACAAGTATATCCTTTAAAAATTTATACAAAAGTGCTCATGCCCTACACACTATACTTTGCCTTGCTTTTTTCACTTAATAAAACACTTATGTTTTCATTTAATAAAAAATTAGTGGTGTTTCCGTATGAGTACGCATGGATCAACCTCATTTTCATCAACTACATAGTATTTCTTGGTTTAGATCTAGTGGAATATATTTAACTGTTCATGGTCATTTTAGTAATTTCTAGTTTTTTGCTTATGTACAATGCTGCAACGGATATCTTTGAACAACTGTTATGGAAAGTTTTTGTGCATTTATTTGAAGGGTGAATTTTTAGCAATGGGATTGCCAGATCAGAGGTAGTGTGCATTTCACATTTTGAAAAATGCTCCCCCAATTTTCTCCCAATAGGCTGTACTTTCCACCAGTGGGATTTGAAAGGATCAGTTTTTCACATCTCTCTCAGCCCAGGAAAAAATATAAGATGCCCAATTGGTAAGAAATAGCTTGTTTTGATTTTCATTCCTGTAACTATGAATAAGGTTAAGCCGTAATGAATGAGATTGAGCAACTTTTCATATGTTCATTAGCCATTCCTTTATCAATGTTCTGCCTGATTAAAAGAAGGAGTTGTCCTTTTCTTATTAATGTATAAGGACCTTGTCAATTAAAAAATTAATTAGCCTATGTCTGTCATACGTGTGGCAAATATTTTCCTAGTTTCTCTGTCTTTAGTCTTTGTGTGTGTGTATTTTGTCTATACATAGATGTTTTGTATTTTTTTAATTAAATTTTAATTACCTTTTTTGAACTGAGCTTTTTATTTTGAGATAATTGTAAATTCACACACAGTTGTGAGAAAAGGTACACAGTGATCCAGTATGTGCTTTACCCAGTTTCCTCCAATGGTAGCATCTCACAAGCTATAGTACAATAGCACAACCAGGATGTTGACATTGATACAGTCAACACACAGAACAGTTGCATCACCATGAAGATCCTTCATGGCGCCCTTTTACAACCACACACATCCCCTTCCCACCCCCACCTCGTCCTCAACTGTGACAACCATTGAATTTTCTCCATTTCTGTAATTTTGCCCTTTCAAGAATGTTTTGTAAATAGAATCATACAATATGTAACCTTTTGGGATTGGCTTTTTCTCATTCAGCAAACTCTCTAGAAATTTATTCATGCTGTTGCATGTATCAATTATTTTCATCATATCATATCGAGGGTACATACTATCAACGTGACATATCGCTGTTGATATTGACCTTAATCACCTGGATTCTCCACTATAAATTATCTTCTTTTATCCCCCTTTCCATACTGTCCTCTTTGGAAGAAAGTCACTACACACAGCCTACACCTAAGGAGAAGATAGTTATTACTCTACCTCCCTGAGGGTAGAATTTCTACAAAAATTACTTGGAATCCTCCTGCATGAGAGATTTGTTTCTTCCTCATTTATTTATTCATTCAGTCATTTATTTATATCAGTATGGATTCATGGATATTTATTTCATACTTTGTCTTATAATCCAATGTTACTTTATTTTGTCATGTAGGTTTTTAAAAAACTGTCAAACTGTTTTCCAGTTTGACAATGTGCTAAACATTCTGATCAGAAATGTATGAGTGATCCAGTTTCTCCACATTCTTGCCAGGATTTGATGTTATCACTTTTTTTCTTAAATCTTAGCCATTCTGATAGGTATGTAGGGATGACTCATCATGGTTTGAATTTGCATTTCCCTAATGCCTAATGATATTCAACATCTTTTCATGGGCTATTTGCTCTCTGTGCATCCTCTTGAGTGAATTGTTGCCTCACATCTCTTGCCCATTTTCTAATTGGTTTGAGTTTTGGGTTTTTTTTACTATTGAGTTTTGAGAGTTTTTTATATAGTTTAGACATGGGTTCTTTCGCAGATTTGCGATCAAAAATATTTTCTCACAGCCTGTAGTTTGTCATTTCACCCTCTTAACAGAGTCTTTTGGAGAGCAAAAGTTTTATTTTGATTAAATTTAACTTATCAATTTTTACTTTTATGAATCATCATGTGTGTCAAATCTAAGAACTCTTTGCTTTGCCTAATGCTAGATCCCGAAGATTTTCTTCTATGTTTTTTTCTACAGTTTTATAGTTTAAGAATTTTCATTTAAGTCTGTCATCCATTTTGAGTTAATTTTGATATCAGATGTAAGACTTAGGTTGAGGTTCTCTTTTTTGTCTGTGGATGCTCAGTTACTTCAACATAATTTGTTGAAAAGGTTCTTTCCTTCACTGCATTGCTTTTGCATCTCTGTCAAAATTGTCTACCTTTTTTGGTATATTCTATGTGTCTTGTGTCCTGTTCAGAAAGGTCTTCCAATTTCAATGGTAAAAATTAATTAATCCACATTTTTATATATTTTTTAGGTCTAAGTTTTTGCTCTGTTGGAAAGTTAATTTCTTGTAAGAAGAGGTAATGATCTAGTTTTCTTTATTTCCCCAAAAGTTAGCCCATTGTCCTACCATCCTGTTACTCCCACCGATTTGAAACTCTACCTCTATCATAAACTAAATCCTTAAAAATATTGGGGGCTATTCCTAGGCCCTTTATTCAGTTTCAGTGACTTGTCTGTTTCTTCTCCAGTTCTAAACTATGTAATCTATTTTAATTATTGTTATTTGGTACCTGGTAGCGCTAGTTCCTTCTAATTCTCTTATTTCTCAGAATGCTCCTGGATATTCTCACGTGTACTGTCCCTTAGGAAGTTCATTGGCAGATTTAGTTACTATCCCCAACAGATTCACTCTCTCCTTCCACAGTGTTGGGGAGGCTGAGGAGGGGAAGCTGCTGCCCAGCCTGAGACGACATTTCCCAGCCCCCCTTGCATCTCAGCTGTGGCCATTTGCCTAGTTCTCACCAAGGGAATGTGTGTAAAAGTGATGCAGGTCACATTTGGCGTGATGTGGCTAAGAAGTGGGTCTGTTTCTCCATCTTTTCTGTCTCCTTGTCTGGCAATCTTGGAAGCCAAATGTTAAAAATCATGGGGACACAAGATGGAAGCAGCTCATCCCTGAAACACTGTTTGGACGGCCCCCTGCGGAACGCTCAGGAGAGATAAAAAATCAACCGGAAAAACAAACCACACATTTAATGCGCTTAGCCACTGAGATGAAGGGTTTATGTGTTACAGCAGCTAGTGTTATTTTAACTAATATATTTAATATCATTTTACCAAGTTCTCCCAAACTCCTGTTGTGTCTTACTTAGGGTGGCATTAAATTTATGACTTAAAGAGAAAACTAACATCATTACAATATTGAACATGATGTCTTTCCATTTAGTTAAGCCTTTTATGGCCAGCAGTAGAATTTAAAATATATATTTTATACCATCCAAAGATAGTGACAGTTAATATATATCTTTCAGATAGCTCTCTGTGCAGTCACATATTACATATGCATTTAATTTTACCTAAATGGAATCATATGATGCATGTTGTTTTATAAACTACCTTTTATACTCTGAAATTTTTACAATATGTAGAAATATCTACCATAGAGATGGGCAATTTTTTTCTTAAAGGGCCAAATTTTAAATATTAACTAGTATTTTAGACTTTGTGGGCTAAGAGGATATTATGTAGGTATTTAATAACCATTTAAGAAATGACCTGGGGGCCAGCCCCGTGGCCGAGTGGTTGAGTTTGTGCGCTCCGCTTTGGCTGCTCAGGGTTTCGTCAGTTTGGATCCTGGGCACTGACATGGCACCGCTCATCAGGCCATGCTGAGGTGGCATCCCAGATAGCACAACCAGAGGCACTCACACCTAGAATATACAACTATGTACTGGGGAGATTTGGGGAGAAGAAGAAAAGAAAAAAGATTGGCAACAGATGTTAGCTCAGGTGCCAATCTTTAAAAAAATTAAAAAATAAAGAAACAACCCAAGTGTCTATCAATAGATGAAAGAATAAAGAAAAAAGTAGTGTATATATATATATATATGTTCCGTATAAGTGGAACATATGTATATTCCGTAGACAATGGAATATTATTCAGCCATAAAGAAGAATGAACTCCTGCCATTTGTGACAACATGGATGGACCTTGAGGGAATTATGCTAAGTGAAATAAGTCAGACAGAGAAAGACAAATACCATATGATCTCACTTATATATGGAATCTAAAAAACTCCAAAAGGAAAAAACCAAGCTCATAGATACAGAGAACAGATTGGTGGTTGCCAGAGGTTGGGGGGGCGGCGGGGTGGGAGGGGAAGAGAGAAATAGGTGAAGCAGATCAAAAGATACACACTCCCAGTTATAAAATAAATAAGTCATGGGATTTCATGTGCAGCATGCTGACTATAGTTAATCATACTATATTGCATATTTGAAAGTTGCTGAGAAAGTAGATCTTAAAAATTATCACAAGAAAAAATTTTTTGTCACTATGTATAATGACAGATGTTCACTTCACTGGTGGTGATCATTTTGCAAAATACACAAATATTGCATCATTGTGTTGTATACCTGAAACTAATATAATGTTGTATGTCAATTGTACCTCAATAAAAAAAAGTATGAAAAAGAATTTAAGAAATTAACCAGTTAAAATGTAAATGCCTTCTTAGCTTTTAGTGAATAAAATAACAGGCAACTAGCTAAAGTTGGTCCATACCTCTAATCCACATAGTTCGCCAACCTCTAATCCACATCATCATTTAAATACTACTTACTTAAGTAGTCACCATTAACACACATTTATCTTGCCTCCATATTAATTTGCTATTATAAATAGCATGACAATGGACATCCTTGTCTGTAACTCTTTTCACACTGATCTGTTTACTTCCAAAGGGTAAGTCCCTAGAAATAGAATTGTTGGGCCAGAGCATATGATATTTTACCCTTTGATACATATTGTCAAAATATTCTCATTTACATTTATATTCTCATCAAGTATGTACAAGAGAGCCCACTTCACTATACTCTTGTCAACACTGGATATAATCCATCTGGTATTTGTCAGTCCAATAAGTGAGAAAAAATGATATCTCATTGATATGCTTACACTAATTTCTTTGTTTAGCTACTATGACCGTCTTTTCACCGATTGTTGTGTGTTTATTATTTATGAATTCCCTGAGTGTGTCTTTTGCCCATTTTTCTTTGTGATTTTCTTCACATTGATTTCTAAAAGCTCTTTATGTAGTAGGGATTGCAACACTTTATCATTTGTATGCAATATTTTCCCCAAGTTTTTCATTTCTCTTGTTTCTGGAAATCATTTTTCTTTTCTTGTTTAGAATTTCTATATTTTATCTGGTTCAGGTTGATAGAACTTTTTCCTATGTAATAGATGTCTAGTGTTCTTGTCAAGTCTCTCCCCTTTCCTGATTACAAAAATATTCACCCGTGTTTTATTTTAGTGCTTTTATGGTCTCTCTTTACATTTCAACCTTTAGTTCATTTAGAATTTATTGTGAGGTATAGAATGAGGCAGAGATTCATCTTTCTTTGTTTTTTTAATAAGGCTAGCCAGTTTCCTGAACATATTTAGATATCTTTAACCACTATTTTAAATCCCAATATAAATTTCCATGCATATATTTGGGTATAATAGGACTCATTAAAAAAACCCTACCAGCTGTCAAGGAACTGAGCATTTTGGTTCTAGCAAATTATTCACACTTGCCATTAAATGAAGAATTTCTTGCAAACAAGATATGCCTTGTCTTTAACTGGAAACTTTTTTACCTGATAGCAATTTGTATATCAAAGATAAAATTGTTATTATTCAGGCTGATAGGATTGTTTGTATTTTCCCTGAGCAGAAAGATAAAATTATTTAGAATTGAGAAATATGTATAGTTACGCCAGGGCTGTATCTGTACGCTATCTGTATGCTGTCTGTATATATGTGTAACCATGATTATGAAAATAAAATAGTTTGTAGAGGGAGTTGCCAAACCTGAAGAGTTTAAAAAAAATTGTAAGATGACATTTCACCAAATTTGAAGAATAAAAGAAGTAAGGCACTATCTTTGGAAGCAGTTGGTTGAATTCTAGCTCCACTGTTCACAAGTATGTGGTCCTGGGCACCGCCCTTCTCCTCTCTGGGCCTCAGCTCCCTTGTCTGTAAAATGGGCTAATAATTATGACACTTGCCTCACGCCGTGGTTGTGAGGACTGAATGAAATAAGTGAAGCCAGAATCCACTGTGCCTGGGGTTAGGCACCGGCATCCAGGTGCCCTCTGACCTGTGGTCTTCGTTAAACCCTTTTCTCATCTTACACTGACTCCTCCAACTGGGTTTTACTTCTATTTCTTACTTATGAAGCCAGCCTCTGACTACACAGTACACTTAGCTAAGCCCTTGTCCTTTTGCTTTGTTCCTGTCCACCCCTACTCCATTACTCCTGAGGTCCTGCTCCCATTTATGTCCCTTGACTTCCAGTCTTGCTCCAACCCAGAAAGTCCTGGCCCACCCATGGGTGAAACCTTTTAGTTCCAACCAGAGATCACCATGTCCTTTGAACCCTCGACTTGGGCTGCTGGCTGGGGTCCCACTTGGTCCTGCCACCCTTCCCTACCCTTTAAGGATAACTAGGATACTTAATTCTCACCAAGGCATTTGCATTCCCCAAAAAGGATGATTAGGATTGCTTTCTGAAAACGACAACTGCTCTTGCTGTTGGAATTTCTGGCATTGTGACAAAGGGAGCAGAACTGTCTGTTGGCCCAGGGTCAGCTCATCTTGGTGGCAGCCATAAACTCCTGGGCTGTTTATCTGAAGGTGGCTTTTGCCCTCACATTCTGTCTTATGGAACAGTTGTTTATGTGCCTGACACATCGCCCTGATTTCACTCTAAAGTTTATGAGAGATTATCATTTACTCATCTCTATTCTGGATAGACAGGTGTGCCACAGGATGACTCAGGTGTTGCCCTATCCCCCACCCGCAAACAATTGTCTGTGGTCCTGAAATGCAAAGGAAATGTTTGCTTGCTCAGATTTCAGAATTGTAAAACAAATGGCAGCTGTGGAAGAAAAGGGAGTGTATTAAATGTGGTTCTTTTTTTTTTTTTTTTGCAAGGACAGAAACTCAACTCCAACTGGCTTAAGAAAGAAAGAAAAAGATCATCTGGGGGCACAATATAGATATCACCAATCTCGTTCTCCCTCTGGGCTCTATTTTCTTTTGCATGGCTCCATTCTCTTCTGGCTCATCCTTCATGGTGGCAAAGATGGCCGCAGGCAGCTCCACGTCTATAGCCTTCCCCTCAGCAACCCCAGAGAAAGGCCACTTCTCATTCCCTAAAATCTCCAGAGAAATTCCTGGAACTGCATGTTAATGGCCTGACTTGGATCATATGCCCATCGTTGAACAGTCAGGATGGCCTGGGAGATGAAATGTCTGATTGGATGAACCTAGGTCAATGCCAAATCCTTTCAGGGATGAGGACGATAAAGTTAGAGGAGCTGAATGGTGAGCGGAAGTGTGTCAGCCCTACCCAGGTTATGTGAACAGAGAGTGGAAGACCTCTGGTTTCCCCAAGGAAAATCAAGATGCTGTTACGCAAGGAAGGAGGGATCTCAAGCAGACACGAATGCCAAATATCCAATATGGTGACAGAGCAGGAGAGAGGGCAAGTGTGAGAGAAAGATTGTCAGGGAAGCCAACCACCGATGCAGAGGTAAAAGAGATTTTTGTAATTTTAAGAAAAGTGACTTTTTTCAGCAATTGAGAAAGAATTATTACACTAATGTTCATAGCAGCATTATTCACAATAGTCAAAAATGGAAATAACCTAAGTGTCCATCACCAAATGAATGGGTAAATAAAATGTGGGTATGTATATATTTATATAATGGAATATTATTCAGTCTTTAAAAGGAAGGAAATTCTGACACATGCTACAACATAGATGAACCTTGTGGTGATAATGCTAAGTGAAATAAGCCAGACACAAAAGAACAAATATTGTATGATTCCACTTATATGAGGTCCCTGGAGTAGGCAAATTCGTAAAGACAGAAAGTAGAATGGTGGTTGCCAGGCACTGGGAGGAGGGAGGAATGGAGAGTTAGTGTTTAATGGGTGCAGAGTTTCGGTTTGAGAAGATGAAAAAATTCTGGAGGTGAGCAGTAGTGATGGCCGTACAACAATGTGAATGTATTTAATGCCATTTAACTGTACACTTAAAAATGATTAAAATGATAAATTTTGTGTTGTGTATATTTTACCTCACTAAGACATTACATTTAAAAAAAATTATAACTGAATCTGAGAGGAAAGAAACCTTTTGCCCTGTGCCTCCTGACAAGGCACTCATCCTAGACTTTGCCTGGTGCTCTGCAAACAGCAAAGGTCATTACGAATTTACTGGATACATCAATAAAGCAACTTGAGATGTTTTGGTCTCATTGCCAAGCCAGAAATAATTTCTGAGCAAACACTGGACCACCATCCCCAAAATGCCACAGCACACTGCTGAATGTCTGGGTCTGTGCAGGCCCCTCGGCATTGTCTCCCTGGGCTTCATCATCACCTTGTGGGGGTCAGACAGAGGCGCTTCCCCAAATAGCCAAAATCCTCTTTTGTTCTCAACCAATTTTGCCCCCCAAGAGACAGCTGGCAATATCTAGAGACATTTTTGGTTGTCACAACTTGGGGTGGTGGCTGCTGCTGGTGGGTAGAAGCCAGAGATGCCACTGAACGTCCTGCAATGCACAAGACAGCCCCCACAACAAAGAACTACGCAGTCCTAAATGTCAATAGCGCTGAGGGTGAGCCAGCCTGGGAAGTCCTCTTACGTCTCCAAGCGCTTACACATTCTCACACAAGCATGCGCACACGCTAGCACACACGCACCCCCTCACCTATACTCTCCTAGGGACCTTCCTGATCTTTGTTAATTTTCAGTGAATCACAAGAAGTTTATAGCATAAAAATACATTTCTAAAATTAGATTCTTGCTCAGTATCCTTTAAATCAAAGGGCCATGCAGTAAATTTGCCTTGAACTTAATTTTGTGCCTCGGGTTCTGCATAACAGGGCAGAGACGGATAGAGCAAGGAGGAGCAGCATTGGGATGCAGTTGTATCACAAACAAGGACCAGTTTACTCTCCTTCCCTAACGGGCCCCAGTAGGCCATTGGACCACAGACAGATGTAAATCAGTCAGTCAAGCCTGATGTAAAGACAGACTTTCTGGAGGTTGGGGGTGAGGAAGGGAATGTATGTTGTTTGGGAAAATATGTTTAATATAATCATACAGTTTATTTTGAGAAATGACAAATATTGTCTTATGTTTCTAGAAAGATGTTATCACTTAAAGAATGTTGCAGTTTGGCACTTTTATTAGAATCAGAAGTTAAAATTTCCATTTGAAAAAAATTCTCTTTTAAAACAAAGTCAGAGAAACAAAAGCAAAGACGTTTCGTTGCTTTACTTGTCCCACTCTTGCTTTTATTTACTTATTCTTTTTTGTTTCACTTCCTTCATTTTTATTAAGGTATAAATGACAGATAGCATTATATTAGTTTCAGGTGTACAACATAATGATTCAATGTTTGTATACACTGCCAGATGATCACCACAAAAAAAATATAATAAGTCTAGTTACCATCTGTCACCATACAAAGTCACACAATTTTTTTCTTGTGATGAGAACTTTTAAGATTACTCTCTTGGCAACTTTCAAATATGTGCTACAGTATTGTTGACTACAGTCACCGTGTTGTACATTACATCCCCAAGACTTATTTGTTTTGTAACTAGAAAATTGTACCTCTTGACCCCCTTCACCCATTTCGCCCAGCCCCCAACCCCTCTCCCTTCTGCTAACCACCAATCTGTTCTCTTTATCTGTGAGGTTTCTTTTGTTTTGTTTTGTTTTTTAGATTCCACATACAAGTGGAATCATACAGTATTTGTCTTTCTCTGTCTGATTTATTTCACTTAGCGTAATACCCTCAAGGTCCCCCCGTGTTGTCGCAAAATGGCAAGATTCCGTTCTTTTGTATAGTTCGGTGGTATTCCATTGTATCCATAGACACCACATTTTCTTTATCCATTCATCCGTCAGTGGACACTTAGGTTGTTTTCGTATCCTGTCTATCGTAAATAATGCTGAGATGAACATAGGGATGCATATATCTTTTCAAATTAGTGTTTTCATTTTCTTTGGGTAAATACCCAAAAGTGGAATTGCTGGATCATAAGGTAGTTCTTCTTTTAACTTTTTGAGGAACCTCCATACTGTTTTCCATGGCGGCTTCGAGGATGTGGAGAAAAGGGAACCCTCATGCACTGTTGGTGGGAATGTAAATTGGCGCAGGCACTCCTGTTTTTAAACATTTTACTTCTGTGTGGATGAGTTAGACACAGCCAACTTTTGTTTTTTAGTGTTTTCTTTTTTAACTGAGATTTTTATTTCAATATTTTATTGAGATTTTTAATGCAAATTAAAAGCACAATAGCATACCATTATGCGACTATTAGAATGTCTAAAATCCAAGGGACTGGCCATGCCACTGTTGGTGAGAAGATGGAGAAACTGGAAGTCTCATACACTGCAGGTGGGGATGTACAACCACTCTGGAAAGCAATTTGGCAGTTTCTTGAAGGTCAAATGCACACCTACCTTCCACTCCAGTTGTTTACTCAAGCGAAATGAAAGTATATATCATTACGAAGACTTGGACAAAAATATTCATAGCAGCTTTATTGGTAACATCCCCAAACTGGCAAGATGTCCCTCCGCGGACGAATGGCTAGGCAAGATGTGGTATAATCGTGCAATAGAATACTACACAGTAGCCAGAAGAAACGAACTTCACACAACATGGATCAATCTAAAATAAATATGCAGACTGAAAGAAGCCAGATAAGAAAGAGCACATACTGTGTGATTCCATTTATATAAAATTCTAAAAATTCAAACTAATCTATAGCGGCAGAAAACAGACTAGTGATAGCCTGAGAACAGGAGCAGGGTCACGAGGAAACTTTCGGTGATGATACAGATGTCGCTGTCTGGATTGTGGTGAAGGTTTCGTGAGTGAATACATGTGTCAAAACATCCATTGTTTAATATGTCTTTAAATATGTCTAATTTGTTGTCTGTCAGTTATATCTCTTTAAAGCTGTTTCAGAAATAATAATTTTTAAAAACCCAAATGAATCTGTCCAAAGATATTTCTGGCTTCTGTTTTTAGACAGTTTACCTATTAAGAGCATAGGCCCTGGAGTCAGCAAATCGATTCTGATGCTAGCCACCTATGACCTTTAGTGAGTTGCCAGGTTTTGAGCTTCAGTTTCCTCATCCGCAAGCTGGGAACAACACCTGCCTCACCGGATGGTTGTGAGGAACTGGTGGGGTGACGTTTGTTAAGTGCTCAGCACAATGCCTGGGATAGAGCTTGCTGACTGTTAACCTTTGCTGTTATTGTTAATTTCAATCACTAGAATAATAAAGGGCATAGTAAAGTCTTCTGATTTTTAAAGACATTTTCCAAATGTGCATAATTTTCTATTTTATGGGGATAAAATGTTCCAGCCAACAACACAGAGACTGAATTCAATATTCTCTTCTTAGAGACCATAGCTTCACCTACAGATTTCCTCTTGGTTATGTCCAGAGGGTAACTTTGCTACAAACAGAGTGGTTTTATTTTTAACTTTTTATTGAAGTATAACATACACACAGAAAAGTACACAAATCATAACAGCTTGATGGCTTTTCACAAAGTGAGCTCACCCTGCAGCCACCATGCAGATCATGAGGCAGAAGGAGGCAGTGTCCTGGAAGTCACCCGGTGTTCCACCCCAGGAACCGCCTCCCAGAGCTAGTCACGTGGTCGGCTTTGCTTATTTCTGGATTTTATACTGCACAGTACGTGCCCTTTTGTGTCTGACTTCCTTCGCTTTGTGAGTGTCATCCAATTGCTAACCAGCGCACATGATTTACATTCTCCATGATGCTTTCTCTTTTACTTCCTTTAAAAACATTATCATATCTTTGTTGAGACTTGAAAGATGAGTAAGATTTTCCCAGAATTAGGGAGCATTTTGGGTAAAAGAAATAGACTGTCCAAAGGCTTGGGGGTGAGTAAAACTATGGGATGCTCAGGACAGTGAAAACAGGCATTCCTTCTGGAGTAGTTATTTCCTGCTTAGTTCAACTGTTTTCATAATTATGACCATTCATGTAGTTCCTAGGTTTTTCTACGATAAACAATGATGAAATCAATGTTCCTGGACGTATGTGCTCACCTACAGGAGCTCTTATTTCTATAGGATAAATTTCCAAACATGAGTCTTCCGGGTCTAGGGGTATATGAATGTCAATAAATATTGCAAGATTGTGTCACAAAATAGTGCAGCAATTGACACTTCCACCAGCAATGAATGAGTTTGCCTACTTCCCCCATCTTTGTCAGCATTGGATACTGTCACTTTAAAAAAATTTCTGTTCTGTTGCTTTATTTTGAATTATTTTCTGGCTTTTAGAGATGAATTGTCTTTTCGTGTGTGTTGACCATCTGGATTTCCTCTTCTGTAGGGGTATTTTTTTTTCAATTTTTCTTAATTGCAGTAACATTGGGTTATAACATTATGTAACTTTCAGGTATACATCGTAATATATTTTGAATTCTTTGTAGATTACACCATGTTCACCACCCGAAGACTAATTAAAATCCATCAGCACACCCATGTGCCCACTCGCACCTTTCGCCCTCCTCCCTCCCCACTTCCCCTCTGGTAACCACTAATCCAATCTCTGTTCCTATGTGTTTGTTTGTCGTTTTTATCTTCTACTTATGAGTGAGATCATACAGTACTTAACTTTCTCC